CCAAATTCGGGTGCAACATATATTCTATTCTCCACATAAAAAATATTCCTAAACAGCTAATTTTTGGGGCCAGTTTCTGACTAATTTTAATATTAAGTAAGGAGTACTCATTTCTTCTTTCTTAGGAGTAACGGATCAGGTCTCTATTTTGTTAACTTCTTCATATTTCAGCTGCATTATTTCAATCTTCTAAATTGATGAATTTGTTAATAAATAGATTTCAATGTAATTCATTCAGTAGTTCACTAAGAGTTAATCAAATACTATATTTTTTTCAGCAATATTGCTTGTATTTTTGATATTTGTTTTCCTAAATAGCTTACTTATATTATTCTAGTTTGTTGGGTGGCTTTATGCAGTAAAATAGAATCAAGGAGTGTGCAGCTGAACAGATAAGTACAAAACAAGATACAAGGAGAAATCTGAAGTACGGGTGATTTCGCAAGTTAGGTTTGCTCTATATCAAAACCGCATACTTTCAACCTCTTGGTGTTGTGGTTTGTTTGTTGTTTTTTTTTTTTTTTTTTTTAGGAAACATGAAAGAGAGCAGGGTTGGTGGCTTGACAGTCTGTGATACACATTTTCACCAGTTTCAAAATAATTATTCAGCCCTGTGGTTAGTATTAGAACAGAAATATGAAACTGATTGCTTTGCTCTCAACATAACACCAAACATACACTAAGCACAGATTCTAGTATAGTACCTCTATGATTTATACTCACATTTTCAGGTAGTAGCTAATAGAAATAATTTGCGATCCAAGCAATAACAGTAATAAAAACAAGTAAGCAGTTCAAACTTACATCACCTTTCTTTCCTCTCACTATACCTGATGAAAAAAGAGCTGGAATTTACTAGGTAAAAACCTTTCTGCTTTCTCCTCACCTCCTCTCTTAATTAATTAATTGATGTTTCCAACCACCTCCTACAACAGCTCTTCTTTTTTCTTTATTATGCTCCAGATGCAAAGGGAAGGACTTCCATCTCATAGCCACCTCAAGTAATTAATAACAAAGCTCTACAAATGAAAATATCATTAAAATGAATATCATGAAAATGAAAGCATCATTAGATCTTCAATAGCTGTAGTGCTGTGAATCAATTTTTTTCCTCCCACTACTACCCTACTAACATTTACTCAGAACTTTGCATTCACAATGAACTCTGCAAATTTGGACTGATGGTTAATATGTGTTTGGGGGGCAGTGGGTTACGGTCATTGTTCACCTTGATGAAGCTGATTGCTGTGGATGACTGCTGTGGTGGAGGTGCATTAGCCACTGCACAGTACTGACAGTTTTCCAGTTAACAGGGAACTTTTCAAAGGCCTCGTGTTAGGCAGAAATTGTAATGAGTATTTCCATGATTTCCCGGGAACCAGACAAATGTTAAGTATAAATCACGAAATACTTGAGCAGTTTTCTGCAATTTTCTATTTTCATAGCACTTGCTGTATGTGTTCATCTATGGCATTAAGTTATCTCGTCTTGAGATTGCCTCATTGTTTTGTTCCCAAACTAGTGTCTAGCACCAGTTCTGGTCTAGGGAAGTGATGTTTCAAATTTTATTAGAGAATGTCTTGCTCTTTGAGCAGACCTGTGTCTGGGATATGTTCCAGGGAATTTCCCAGAGGTGTTTGATCAAGCTTCTGTCAAGTTTTGCTGGTGCAACAAAGCACTGAAAACACGTTGATTGTGTGCCTGTTCAAATGGCATTTTGATAGGGAATGAGAATGCATAGAGGCTGCAGAAAAAGCATGATACACACTTATTCTGTTCCACTCTGTTCCCCAGAGGACTATGTACCGGAGAAGCTATGAAAGACCAAGGAAAAAGTCTTGCTGGTGCTGCCCCAGTCAGTACAGCCCAGTCTTAATTTATAAGAGAGAGCACAGTCTTGTAGTTAAGGCAGGGGCAAAGGTCTCCCTGCATATGTTTTGCTACTTGGGTTTCAGTGGGTGCACTATTATTTAAACTTACTGCTCGGGAGGATGCCATTTTCTCTGTGCCAGGAAAGCACAAAGCACTATGCAACAGTGAACATGTGCCATAAGTATCAGGCAATTAATCCTCTCTGCATGGCATCTCCCATTTTCAACACCAGCTTCTGTGAGTGTTCTCCCTTCTCTAGATGTATTTGCACACACAGCAAATTGCCTTCCTGATAGGTCAGTCCTTTAAGGACCAGGGCAGGAGTCAAAGGACTTTTTCAAGGAAACATGGAGTATTGTCACTGATACAGGGACAGGCTGTTTCCTGTCTGTATTTGTTGTACTTTTCTCAGAGAGCCAAATCCTGTTGTCCTTATTTGGTCCTTGCATGCTCAAAGTATTCACTAATACCAAGAGCAGGATTTGTCTACTTTTTGCAGCCCTAGGTAATGAAAATTACTTCTCAGCAAGGATGGTTGGGTCCTTACTGAGATGCATTACCAGGAAGACATGCTCTAGGAAACCCTAAGCACAAAGCATATGTAGATTTTACACTTTTCTGTTGTTCTTTGTGTTGTTGTTTTTTGTTTGTTTGTTTTTGTTTCTGTTTTTCCATAACCTGAGCACAGGAACTCCCAGGGGAGTCAAGGATAGCTTTCCTGTCACCTCAGAGGCCTTAGGCTGACTTCAAAAGGCCAGTCCTGCTAGACTCTTGAGCTGAACTAGTGAAATGCATTCATGTAAACACGCTGCAGGGGTCAATCTTTTCAAAATACACCTGAAGTCTACCTTTACTTAGTGCAAAACTTTCACCTGGATGTATTTTAATTTCTGCATGCAATATACTCCAACTGTGAAATCTTAGCTGCCAAATCATGTCTGGGGAATGATTCAGTACTTAAGCATAAATATTACTCCGTATTAGACACAGAAAGGACTTTAAATGCTGCTCCGTAAAGACATGAGACTCCATCTGTGTTACATCAGCATCACACAGGTGTTTGAGTTGCTCCACAGGGTTTAATATGCCAAAGGACGCCTATATTTAGACAATCCACCAACACTGCTCATCCAGCTGTGACTAGATTTGGATTCCTCCAGAATAATCACAAGTAAAAATGAGTGATAGGCCTGAGCTAAGGTTGTTCTACACCTTGACTTACACAATTTGTATCGCTCCAAAGAAACAGAAAACTGTGCAGCAAATGCACCGAATCTGATAATGCCTTGCTCTATCTTGCACAGGGACTCAAGGCAACACAAAAGCTAGTCCTCAGATTTCACTTACAACTCAGATTTCTCTTACTACTTCTCAGCATGTTAAAAGGCTGAGATACAGGGCGAGAAGAAGTGTTATTGTCACCTTTCACTTTGTGTTGGAAGTGAAGGAACAGAGAAGTGCTGGGAGCAGAGAAATGGAACCAGAGGCCTGCATACACAGCAGCTCCCGAGGGACCCCAGCAATGTGGGTCCATCAGCCTGCATATTGTGCCCTGTGGATGCTAGGCAGAAACATCAAAATACTTGCAACCTAACCTGCAGCACCCTTCTTGATCTCAACTCAGATCACTGTAGCAAGTCACACAGTCTGGATCCAGATTTGATTCTGAGATCCATGGAAGTCTGCCAAAATCGGGACCTTGCGATTTATGATTTTAAGCATATCTCCACCTGGCATGTGAGACCATGGGACAGATCCCTGCTAACATAAAGCTCTCTGCCTTCAATGTTGGTGAGTTTTGAACCACATCTGCCTACAGCTGGTGTGTCAGACCCACAGTTAAGAGCACAAATGCTCCTCAGATAAGAAACATACTTAGACAAATGACCTAGGAACAAATGCACAAGTCTGGCTTCACTTGTATCACACAGCTCTTTAGCTTCACTCCAAGGATTTACTTTTGTGACGTGCAGCAGGATGAACTGACTCTGCTGACCCCTACCTTTATGCAGTGTTTACTGTAACGGCATGCTGCATCCTTTCCAGGAGGTTTCATTTCTCCATTGTGTAACCGCGAGTTATCTGGGCTGGCACAGCGCGGGGTGGTGGCTGTTGCAGGGCTGGGTGTGGTGAGTGTCAGCGCACTGTTGAGATACTTTGGTCCCCAGAGTGGCTGCTGGCATGGCAAGCAGAGAAGGACCTCCTCCCTTGGCCCCGAGCTGGAGGGACACACGCAAAGGCTGCAGTAAGCACTGAGACCTTTTGGCCTCCCTTATCTAAGACTATACCCGTTCCTTCCAACGAAAGAAACCTTTGGAAGCCGAATGGCACTAAAATGTTGAGTCTCTCTGTATAAATACAAAGCATGCTTGTATCCAAAGCAGGAAAATAGATGTGATAAATAAAAGAAATCAATTATTCTTCCTGTTTCAGCTGGAAAAAATGTTACCGTTTCCCTTCTCCTTACCCTGGATTTCAAAGGTGAAGGGACACACCTATTATTTGCAAAGCGTTGATTATAGGAGACTTTTACTCCCCTGCTGCCATCCACATTCGAACAACTAAGTCTGGCAGTAAAAAAAAATTTTTTCAAAATATTTGAAAAAGTATTCCAAGTGTTCAAAATACTGCTAATTCGTAAAGCTGAATGACACATCCTCCTAATACGAATTCATACATATTAAACCCATGTAGAGGACATAGCAGAAACTCTGTTAAGCTGACGACCTGATGATAACCAGTCCTCTCAGTGGTAAAGCACCACACTTGAGGCAGTTGTGTACATGTCCAGCTAATCAAGGAGCCATCTGCTTCTGCAGCCCAAGATTTTCCCTGGGCTTCTGAAACAGCTTTAGGAAGTACTTACACAAGCCTGGCAGGTTTATTTCTTCTTCTGAGAAGAACAAAGCTTATCTGTTCTTGACATATTAAGTAAATCCTAAACTCTTACTAGCTGTAACAGAACAATTAATCAGCAGTCATTTTATTTTGCCATAAAGCTGTGTAAGACTCAACCAGAGGAAGCCTGCATGCTGGATGAAACAGTTCCTCTGATGATTTGATTAGCTGTGAACTCAAAATCTGCAGTAAATTTTCTTCACTTGCTGTTTGCTTTTTTTTTTTCTTAGGTAAAGTGGAAGCAGCACTGGACCTCATACTGATCAACTCATTCCCTCTGGTGGGCAACTCAGAGACATCACTCATCTGTATTACTTCCAAGTGGCGCTCCCGTGAGTCCATCACAATTGACCGAGACCACGAGGATGTGACAAACCAGCACCGAGAGCCGCTGGAAGTGAGTGAAGACTCAAAGAGAGCCACAGCCAAAACGGTGGTGTGGAAAAGGGAACAGGCCAGCGAGACTATTGGAGCATACTACTGTGAAGGCAAGCTCAAGGATGAGGTGACGAGGATACACACCATGAAGATGCCGCTGGGAGGTACTGCATGGGGATCAGAGCTGAATTTTGCATGTCACTGTGTGCACACCAGCAGTTGTCCATGGTTAACACAAGTGGGCATGAAAGTGGCTCCAGAGCTGGCAAGACTGCCTGGAGTCAACAAAAATAGACCGGGCTCAAGTCCATGTTTTTCTTCTGAAGTGCAGAGACAACTGATTGATACTAGCTGCTAGTCATTTCCTCGTGGAAGTTAGTCAGACATCTATAGGTGCTCTGCCTGCATCTGGCTACTGCCAGGAACACGCAGTCAGGTGATAAAGACTCACTGATGCCACAAAATAATGCACATGAAAACCCCTTCCCTGAAATTTTCACACTCTAGACCCTTGATTTCTAAACACAGTTACACCTCAAATCTTGACAGGTTTGGGATGTAGACAGACATACATTGCTGTCCTTTTCCTTGGTAGGAAACCTAAGCCTGGAAAATAACTGCCCACAGTTCGGCATAGCAACACATCAAACACTTCCGATTTGCACAGTCTGTCAGCACAAAAAATCCAGCACAACAATGGAAAGGGACTCCAGGGAAGTTTCTCTGATTCTAAGAAGGTTATTCACAAAAATACACTGCACGCTACACTTTGGATTTGCTTTGTGTTGTAAGGCTATGAAGAATAGAAAAAATAATTTTGGCAGTGAGATAGATAGTGGGGCGCAAAGGTGGGTTTCCCAAAGACCATCACGCTGTCCTGTATATGGCCTTGTAATATTTATAGGACAAATTATAAAGCACAGAGATTACCATAAACTACAGAAAAAATCAAGGAATTCTGGCCAGTATCCCAAAGCAAATCAAGTTTTTAGAACTTCCACTGATTTTAGCACAATTTACTGTATTGCTAACACTTTACACCACAGCAGCTGGGCTGTTAGGGCAATTGACATTTTTTGTCTTAATTTCTAAAGTAAGAAGAGGAACTATCATCTCCCAAAATGACACAGTCCTAGGAAAACAAAACAAAACAACAAAAAAAAATTAGAAAAAGAGATTTTTCTTTTGTCTGAGTTATGGCTGGTGTCTATTTGTTTCTCTTGGTATGGGAATGTTCCAAGAAAGGTGGGCAGGACAAGCACATTTTTATTTGTCTTGTGTCTCTTCTGGCCCAATGTTGTCTTGAAGGGTTTTCTTTCACCAGGAAAGCTCTGAGTGTCCACCTCATTTGCATGGCAGTTAATTCTTTTATTTCAGAGGAAGCTGCAGTGGGAAGGGGGACATAAGATAACAGCCCATGGAAAGCTCTGGAGGAGGGAATGACATCTTCATGTTGACCCTCCCTCTGGCAGAATGCCGATGAGCTGAGCACAGCTCTGGCTGCCGTGTACAGCAACCTTCATGTGTGGATGCGTGTCCTCTGAATCGATAAATTTTTTGCAGTCGCTATCTGTGCAGCTAGCAACAGAGAAATTAATCAAACTTTGAGAGCTTCTTATTTTGTTCTAACAAAAGAACAAAAAGTTGTTCTAACCAGAAATAATGCAGCATTCATGTCAGCTGTAGGTATGCTTCTATGAATCATTTCTGAGTTTGAGTCTATTCCTCAGATTTTCCTTGCAAAAGCTTGACTAACAAAATTTGAGCTAGAAACAGTGTTGAACAGTCTAATCAGCTTAGATGGGTGAGAAAGAGGCATGACAGACATTCTCAAAGCTATTAAGTCCACAGAAAGAGGAAGAAAAGGTCAGTGAAGGACTGTGCAGTTTGGCAGAGCATCTGTAATTGGAAAACATGCCTTTTTGCCCTTTACTGTTGTTGTCTGAATAATTTTTAAAGACGCAGCCTGTTGTCCAACACTGAAAGTTAAGCAAGAGTTGAAACATGCCGTTTCCAACTGAGGACACAAAAGACACGGGAAGAAGAAGCACTTTTGAAAATCCAGCCACTGTGTTACAGCCTCTGGCCAAGAAGCCACTGAAACACTCACTGAGCATCAATCACTTGGGTAGCCCCTCTGACTTCATGGCAGGGGAAACAGCCACCTGCTTTATTATGTACCTGTTGTCAGATGTGAAGATACAGTGAAGACGTTCACTAAATAATAGGAAGAATAACATATTCATTTTCCTATTTCACTCTACACATGTGCCATTCTGAAAGTAAGGAGTCCATTTTCCTGCATATTTTAGTATTTCAGCATTATGGTTACACACGTAATATTCATGCATGCAATAATAAGGATCAGACTATGCTTTTCATGTAGATGGGGAGTAACTATTATACTGTATATAGCATACACACCTAGAATAGAACACTACATAGTTTGCCCTGCATCTAGTCATACACAGTTTGTTCAATTTCTCTACACCATAAATATGTTTTTTCACATATATGATTTTGAGTTTCTTCCACAGAAACTCTCCAGAGCAGGCAAAGGGACAATAATGGAAACACTAGTGAGAGAACGTTACAACACTTATCCTGCAACTCAGTTCATTATGTCTCTATAAGGAATTGGCACACTCAAGATGTGAAATCATGAAATACAACTCACAGTCTAAAAATACTTTGGAACTGAGCCTACCAGGGACCGTGGGTTCCTTTCCATTGCAACAATACTGTGAAGATAAAAAGGCTTGTGGTTAAGCTAAACAACATACAAAGGAAAGAAAATGGAAACACAAAAGTTTAATATCTTGTTAAAACAATTAGTAATTCTTCACAAGATTTAGTCCAGAACCACTACAACTAAAACACTTATGATCATTTGTAACTAACCATTCGTTTTTAGGAAAGCTCTTGAATTTTTGTTTCCTAAATATTTCACGGTTTTCAACAGGTATTTGTTATTCACAAATAACATCTAATTCAGCAGCTGACAGAAGTTGGGACTGCTCTTAGTTTTTGCTTGCCCGTTTTTAATGAGAACTTCTTTCATTATTCTGTATGAAAATTCTCTGTTTCTCTAAGACATAAGCAGAGATACCAGTACCTTGGTAACTTGGCAGAAGCTCGATGGATTCCTGCTGTAGCATGCAGGAAGAGTCTTGCTGAAATCAATTAGATAGCACTTACTGAGGAAGTTGTGAAAACATATGACAGAGGCTCATTTCAGTTAGAAATAAAACTTTTAAACATCAACATTCACAAGGAAAGAAAATTCTGGCAGAAAGGCTGGCTTGGATTGACAGAAATGTTTTAATCTTTTCTCAAATTTTACTTATTATTATTTCACATAATGATACACAATCATTTTGATTTAAAATTAAAATGCCATTCTGAAATGAAAGTATTAATATATTATTTCCATAAATATTGCAAAAATACTACTTTTTTTTTTTTTTTTTTTTTTTTTTTTCCTCAGATTTTACAAAATACTATTCTGGAGATATTAACACCATTATAGCTTCATATTAGCTTTGGAGCAGCATCTACCTGATGTTTATTTACAACTCTATAACATGTAAAATATAACAGGAAGTTAGTTGATTTTTACCCCTGTTTTCTGATCCTATCCCTCTATATTTATTCGCAACCAAATTTCAGTCACAGACTCCAGATTTGTTTTCTGCGACCACTGGCAAGAACCAAAGTAGTTCCTTGATAGCTTTCTAAAAATGAAAAAAAAAAGAAAAAAAAAAGAGAGAGAAATTAAAGATAAACGGATTTTTTTTTTTATGATTAAATTGCCTACCAGTTTATACTAACTTGTGTAGGTGTTCCTTAAACAAAATATCCCATGAAATAAATCTGACTTAATCTGACTTTAATAAAAATGTACAAGTACATGTAACAAGTACAGAGACAACCAGGACAGGACCATGAACAGCTCTGAAGCAATCCCTCCCAGCTGAGGCTCAGGTGAGTCTTTCTGTTGGAGAGGTCCCGTGCACCTTCCTAGCAAGGAAGGAAGGGCAGTAGCACTGAGCTTCTGCAAGCTGGCAGAAACAAGATGCAGGAGAGGCTGACCTAAGAGCAGCATGCATGGGAGGCACTTAAGGCTAAACAGCCTCGATAGTAGAAAGAGAAAATGGCCTAGAAAAAATCAATGCTTCACATCCCTGGGCACTGTACAAAGAAGAGTACAAGGATGTAAAAGACTCAGAAAAGGAGCTGATTAGGCAACTTCCAGGAAAATTCAGAATTTTCTGGACACATGACATATCTATTAATAACAGTAGGACATAAAATCTCAGGACTAAAACTATAAGAAAATATGAATTTATTCTAAAAAAAACCCTCAGTTTTCCCTAGGAACTTTCCATCTAAAAAAAAAGGAAGCATCTTTAATCTCACCTACCTTGTTTTAAAGTAATATATTGCAATTAAAACGAACATTTCACTGGTTACAAAAAATACAGTTTCTTGAGATTCTTCTGCCTCTACCCCAATGGTCTTTTGACCTTTCTTCTACTGATAATGACATCTAAAAGACAAAAATTCTCTGAAAATCCCTCTATCTACTACAACCTTTTTTTCTTAAATCAAGAGCTATAAACAAACACATAAAAGTACTTTCTTTTCCTTTTTGAGCAGGCAAATGAATTTCTATTTCCCTGGAAACTAAAAATAAAAAATAAATATTTGGAAGTTTAATTCAATTATTAATGTTGAATGCAATTCCAGTTGAAAAATCCACTAGAAAATTGTAAAATACCACTGACCTAGAAAGCTCCTCCCACAAAATCTCTATTTTAATTAAGTCACATTTTCAGATGAGAGTATTTTGGTAAAAACAACACTGGCTCTGAGAACAGTTTCTTCGTTTATTCTCAGTGCAGGCTAACACCCTCAGCATTTACAGACAGCAGTTGAACAAACACGAAGACAGGCCACTCTATCTTATTGCCTCCCCCCCCTCTCCCCCAACCCTTGCAGTATGCTGATCTGTCTCAACTGTTCTGCACCAGAAAGCTGAACCAGTAAAGAACTGAGTCACTCAGCCTATTTATTTGTCTGCCAACGACTGCTTGTTCCTTACAATACATTTTCCAGTACTTTATCCAGTCTGTTTGAAAAATGTCTCAAGGGATGAAGAAACTTAGGAAAGCATTTTACAGCCAGGTGGAGTTCCTAGTTAGGAAGTGTTTCCAACTACTCAACCAAAATCCCTTTTTCTTTTCTTTCTTTTCTTTCTTCTTTTCTTTTCTTTTCTTTTCTTTTCTTTTCTTTTCTTTTCTTTTCTTTCTTTCTTTTCTTTTCTTTTCTTTTCTTTCTTTTCTTTTCTTTTTCTTTTCTTTTCTTTTCTTTTCTTTTCTTTTCTTTTCTTTTCTTTTCTTTTCTTTTCTTTTCTTTTCTTTTCTTTTCTTTCTTTTCTTTTCTTTTCTTTTCTTTTCTTTTCTTTTCTTTTCTTTTTCTTTCTTTTCTTTTCTTTTCTTTTCTTTTCTTTCTTTTCTTTTCTTTTCTTTTCTTTCTTTTCTTTTCTTTTCTTTTTCTTTTTCTTTCTTTTCTTTTTTTTTCTTTTTTCTATTTTAATGCTCCAGGTTCTAGTAGCACTCTGATGTTTCAGATTATTGTTAGATTATTATTACTGTTTGCAAAAGCACAGGGTAGAGATGGCTGATGCTAAACAGTCAGTGTGTGCAATAAGGCAATTTAAACATCAGAATCTGAGTGGGGGTCATCCAGTAAAACCATTCCCAGCTTCCAGCCCAGAGATCAGGTAGAGATAACAACTGCTGCTATTTATCCTAAACTTATGTCCTGTTCTGTTTTTTAGCTTCATTCCACCCAGTGGCCTTAACTGTTACAGCAAACAAGGGAGAGCACGTGAATATTTCCTTCATCAGAATGGCAGCAAAAGAGGAAGATGCAGTGATCTACAAAAATGGTAATTAACCTCTCCTCTTCCTACTATCGTTGTCTTAGCCACCTGCTAAGACATTACTCGAGGCATATCTCCTTATGCATCTAATGTTCCCTAAAGGAATTATTTCCAATATCTAAATAGTGAAATTGATTGATTTATTTCTTTTCCACCAGAATGTTCAATGCCTTTGCTTGGTTCCTTTTTCATTCCTTTTTCATTTCTTTCTCTATCCCCTCATACCTTTTTTTTTTTCTTTTTTTTTTCTTTTTTTTTTTTTTTTTTTTTCCCTCTGAAGGTTTATTTACTGAATCTGTCTTTGCATTTCTACTGCTTCTTAACTGCTTACCATTCTTCAAATGGCTTTCATAGGCCATTGAGCTTCTGTGACGCTTTTTAGATTAAGAAATTAAGCACTAGTAACCTGCTGATAGAAAGGCAGAACTGTGAACAGAACCTTATCTTCCCTTCATCCAACTACAAAAACAGTCAGGTTGTAGAATTTATGACACCAGCTTTTCTGTCTAACATAGCACCTAAATCACATGTAACTAACTCAGTGCTCAGCTGCACATTGCTGCTGCCCAGCACTTGGAAATATGTGCAGTTTGCTGTGTACCTCCTGTAGAAATGGAGGTAGCTAAAATTCACAGTGCAATCATATTTAACCAGAATGTTAAATGTCAGCAAATTCTAGCTGCGGAAAACACATGTAACAACATTCTGCTCCATCTTTGTCTACTGACAGTCTAGTTCACAGTGAACTACCAGGAGACAGGGAGTAAGTAGAGCAGGATTATATCAGTATGTGCCAGCACACTGCAGAAGACTGCATGCAGTCAGTCTGCTTCAGTCCCACTTACTGAACACTCACAGCTCCTTTCTGCAGGCTGGGAGAAAAAAAATCACTTGTCCTTTCAGGGTCCCCAAGGAAATTTTGTGACCCCCCTGTCAGCATTTTCCCATGCAAGTTCCAGCTGGTATGTTGGTGCAGGAGTGTTTACATCCTGGTGCTGCCTTAGCTGGGGCTCCAACTGGAAATTTGGCAAAAAGCCTCAAATTAACTCTGGACAGTAGGTCAAGTCCTCCACCTGAGACTGCAGCTGAAATATCATCCCGGAGGATTCCTGATACAGCACCTGGCAGAGAACAGAAAAAGCATGTCCTGATACATTTAACTGTTGCTGTCTTTTGCCTCAGTCATTTAAAGTAATGCTTCCCCCTTGCAAACCCTCACAAAGGTTTTCCAGTGAACAAAACTGGTCTGTTAAGCAAAATTGTGTTAAGACATTGACATAACATGGGCCATCATAGAAAAAGAGCCACAGAAAGTGACCCTTGCTAATGCAATGCTAGCATAAGGCTTTCTTAATACTTTGCTGTCAGCATTGTTTGCAGATTATGACTCAAAAGACATGCAAGCAAACAAAAACAGTTCCAGAACTAATCCCTTGCATTCATCTTCTCTGGCCTTGTTTCCTTGAAGAAGGAAACATCAGACTTGTTGTCATGGTCTTCCTGCTGTTTTGACTGTGACTCTCAACAAATTTTAATCTTTTGAGGCTGCCTGAAGTTTGACTGCTAGGTAGTGTGATCCCAGACAGTGAGCACCTGCTTATCTTCAGCCTGTGCACTACTTCAGCATAGTGAAAAAAGGTCTGTGGCTCCTTACCAGGTTCCATTACCACAATAAATGTAAGGAGATGCAGAACATATAAGCATTTGGTTTGTGGTAGTATTATCTGGTCCACGGCCACTCAACATAAAAGACTAAGATGGGAAATAAGAGAAGTAATAAATAACCAGATGCACAAACCCTAAGAAGCAGCAGATAACAGAGACAACACTGAAGGCTGGAGTTCTCCAGCTGCTGAGAGGCCACATGAGGAAGAACACCACACACTGAGGAGCTTCAACCAGAGCTGATAAGAAGGGGGATTATCATGGTTCTCAAGGAAAAAAGGGCAAATTTATGATGAGATGATCAAGGGGGAATGGGAATGAGTGAAATAACTGTATGTTTGGGGACAGACCCAATGGGGGGAAAGCAAAGTGGAAAGTAACAAGCATTGGAGAAAGGTACAGAGAGCAGGCAAAAGGTGTCACTTGCACCAGTGTATGCTGTGAGCCAGGACACTCACCTGGCACAGCCTTGCTCTACAGCTAGTCTGATCTTATTAAACTGTAGTCTTAATTATCCTTCAACATGTATGCGCACATCTAACATGTCTGTGCTTGTCTATATTCTGCTGGTGACCTTCAGGCCAGATCAGAAGGCAGGAAGCACAACAGGACTAACTCCTCACAACTGGAAATGCATGCCTGGAATCAAAGGGTCTTTGTAGGGCCAGCAGCCGGTGACACTGGGTGTCTATGTCCAATTACGGCAAGGACCTTTGTGAGCCAGTGTGTGTGAGCAAAACACATATGTTTTGGTAATTGCCGGCTGGAACAGGCATCAGCAGGCTGCAGCAGCATTGCTGCAACAGATTGGGGTGGGAGGACTCCCTGGGGTCCTAAGTGCACTGGATGGAGCTTCTGTTTGACAGCAACCCATGTTCAAATGTTATTACTTGGTGATCCAGAGGGATGGGAGAAGACTAAATGTTTTCACCTTACTTAGCAAGCATGCATGACCAACTACAGCAAACCTAGAATAATACAGACAAGCTCCCATGGTGGAAAAAAAAAAAAAAAAAAAAGAGAGAGAGAGAGAGAGAGAATCATATTAAGTTTGTGAAGAAATGATAAAGCTGTGCTGTTGTCTTTCTGTAAATCTCTGAGCTACTGAGATTAAATAGGACCTGCCCAGCATTTGCTGTTTAACTCCCAGCCACACTAGGGCTCCTCACAGGGAATCACCCTGACTTCAAGGAAGCCCAAGGAATAAAAAGCTTTTAACCACAAGACTACTAGCAACATTCTTGTAAAGCACTGCTTAACTCCAAGCTGTTTGCACCATTCATCTGCTACATCTCAAGATCCAGCTTCCTTTTCACTTGTACCTCTCCAACTACCAAGAATTAGCACAGTTAAAGAGCTGCCAGCGAATTCGTAACTCATGAATATATTCTGCTGCTTAATTCATCCCAGCTGTCCTTCCTCAGTGACCAACTCAACCTTGCTCTGGCTGTATATGCTGAATGACTTCTGTCCTCTGTCTTTGTGTGCTCCTTCCCCAGGTTCCTTCATTCACTCCGTGCCCAGGCACGAAGTGCCGGGTGAGCTGGAAGTCTCCTATCCTCATGTTCAACCACAGGATGCAGGGGTTTACTCTGCCAGATATATAGGAGGAAACCTTTTTACTTCTGCTTACACAAGGCTTATTGTAAGACGTAAGTTCCATTACTGTGTGCTAATGATTAATTGTTTAATGTTGTAATGAATCTGACATGAAATCTACACTGTGCCCAAATAAGGCCCAAAGTCTTCCTTGGCATGAGCTGCCATCAGCTTATGTCATAAGAATTTTTTTTCCCAACAATCTTCAGTATAAGCTGATCATGATTTAAGCAGCTGAGAGACAAAACAAACAAACAAACAAAAAAAACCCACAACCTTCAGATTTAGTTTCAATTCATCTAACTATTGCCAAGAGAGACAGCTCTTTTCTCAGCAACTCAGCTTTTCAAATATCAAGCAATTAGGAACAAAGAAGGCAGCACAGGGTCTCTCATGAATATATGATGTGGCTATGAGCAAAAATTACAAATTTTCAAATGTCTCTGTTCTCTATGGTAAGTTATATCCAAACTCCATCTATTCTAAAATAATCTTAGCATACAGCATTGCAATTTCACAAACTACCCCAGTTTGTTTAAAATTGCCATAGTTAGCCATTAAAGCTCAACTCCCAGTGGAAAACTGGACCACTTCACAATGCAAGTGGATATTTTTTCTTAAGCATTATAGATGTCTGGTAGCCCATGCTGCCATGCCCTATTTCATCAGATATAAAGAAAATTATATTCTATTAACTTGAATAGAAATGTAAAATTGATGTGTGAAAATAAATAGCTGTTAAAGCATTTTATATGATGGACAAAATGTTTCTTTTAAGTAAAAACATACTTTACTTACTAGCATCCACAGGATATCCAGGAGTTGCAAATGAATCAATGTAAAGCCCCAGATTTGGATTCTGAAGCTATGACCAGCTTACAAAATAAAATATAAAAACGTCTGTTCTCTGCTCCAGTGCCAAGTTGCACAGCAGATGACTTGCCCATATAGTGCCCACAAATTCTCTCCCATCCCTTGGAACTGGTCAAAAGCCTTGTGCATCCTGCCTATTAGGAAAACTCCTTGGGTGTAGTCTGGGAGAGTTGTAGGGAGCACACTAACAGTAAAGAGAAGGAATGATTTAGCCACTGCTCAGACACATGTTCAGGCTTTCTCTGAGTTACAGTTATAGGCATAGATTGATGATTTTAACAAAGGTTGTTTTTTTTGTTTGTTTGTTTGTTTTTCCCTAAGTATGCACATTTAGTAATTTCATTCTGGGAGAAGGGGGAGACAAAACTCTAAATACCGTGTTGACTCATTAAATGTATGCTGAAATCTAAAAGAGCTGTTCCAAGATTTAATTAGCTAAATTACTCCAGTTTTAGTGAGCCTATTTCAGTTTCCAGTTTACCATCTTCTCTGTTCTAGTTTTACAGTAGAGGAAGTCATGAAGATCACTTTCTGTGATGTAAAAAACATTGTTACAAATCAAATACTGAAAACTGTGGAGTCCTCTCAACACTGATTTCAAAAGCAACTCAGTGAATTTTGTATCTTTCAGGGATTTGTTAAGCATTTGCATGATGAGGCAACACACTCCTGTAGTGAAGTTAAGAGGTTAAGTTTTGCTTCTTTTAAATCAGTAGCAAAACTCTCACTGGCAGGATTCATGGTAGCAGTATCTTTTTAAATTAGGAAGTGGGAAAGAAAATCCTGACATCCTGCATCAAAACTGATATATATACTGACTGCTATTAGTCCATTTTTTCTAGAAACATGTCATCAGCTGATTGATCCTTATACAGGCCCGGTGAAGACAGTAAAGATATAACAGAGGTGAACATGCTCTATTGAGCTTTCAAGAAAAATACTGCTACAGAAAAAAATCATCACTTGCCAAATGCTGGTACAATGCCAGTGATTGCAAGGTTGGACCTGCTGGCTTAATATTGGTACATCCAGCTGCAGGTGAAGCCTGGAGCTTTTGTAGGTCTCAAATCCCTGCTATAAGAACAGGGAAACATGTTTTTTACATGAAACATGATTACATGAAACATCTTTGCCAACTTCCAAACTTACTTTCCTAAACTAAAAATAAATAAAGAAATAAATCTACCTCTGATTTCAAAAAAGGAAAACTTTCACAGTTCCTTCTCTGAAAATGGTAGGTGGTGTATCTGTGTACTACACAGTTGATCTGCTCCAGAAACAGGAAAACTTCCACAATGAAAAAAGTGTCTCTTCATACTAAGCTGGTTGGCCAGCATTTTGGGGTGGGAGCATATGGATCACACGGTCACTTATTTTACTGCTTGACTGGTTATTGAATGAGGAGACAACAAACATGTCATTATATTTCTGCATAAAAGGATGTGAAGCTCAGAAATGGGGCCCTTCCTGTAGCTCCCACTGCCCTTCCTGCATGAACAATGGCATTTGTCATGAAGATACTGGGGAATGCATCTGTCCTCCAGGTTTTATGGGAAAAACATGTGAGAAAGGTAAGCAAATATTCTCTTCACAGATTGCTTATTAATTTGTGCACTGTAATAGAAGTTGGCAGAATGCAGTAGCCTTGTTTCACTCTTTATAGCTATCACATTTACAGCTGGTGCTGGAGACAAGACAGTGTTGGGTGAGATGAACCTGGAATTACCATAGCAGCTCTTGTAGTTAAGACAAATGTTTCCAATTCCTCCAAAATAAGCATGCTTGAAGCTGCTGACTGACTGTTAAATGCATGATAGACTGCGGGATCTTAAGCATACGCTGGCACTGGGAAATGAAGTCCTGTGACAGATTCCGAGGCTACTTCTGAACAAGTTGCCACCTGGTCAGAGGGTGAATTGTCTCTGGAGGAGCGTATCAATAATATATGTCTGCTTGGGCATATCTGTGTCTGTGACAATTAGTTTGGATTCTGGAGTAATTGGAGCAGGAGCACACTGCACACTGATCTGTCCAAGCAACTTATGAGTACAATGCTAAATATGTACCTAAATATTCTGACCAAATTGCAGTGCTGTAAATACTACAACTGAACTACTGGAATAGATGACACCTGAACCACTCTAATTACTCACTGGTCATAGCAGAGAAGCAAAACCTTGAGCAGTTTTATATGCACTGGCTTCTAAGAAGGAGATTTGGTTTTCAAAGCATTGTTTGCCCATTCAATATTAGAAAGGCTTATAAAGAGGATTTATTGCTGAAGCTCTATGCCCAAATATCCAAAGCAATAGAGGCTTTGATGACGGGTTCTTATATGACAGAAAGCAATGTTTGTTTCAGCTGCCGGAACTTACCCTTAGTGCAGCAATGCCTTAAGATGTTTTGGAAGTTAATAGATCTAGTATCTGGATGGTAAAAATATAACTTTTATTTTAATTCATGTTTTCTATTGTCTAAAGCTGTATCATTGGAAGCATTAGCTCTCTTGCAGACTTACTGCTCTTGGATCTTTCTTTCACTCTCTTCTCTTCAATAGCTTGTGGAGCCAATACATTTGGCAAAACATGTGAAGAGAGCTGCAAAGAAAACTATGGCTGCAAAAACTATATGTTCTGTCTGCCAGATCCATATGGTTGTTCTTGTGCCACAGGATGGATGGGACTGGAATGTGATAAAGGTATAGTCAAAAATATGGAGAATGGTGAAGAGTCCTTAATGTGCTACACATATGAAACACAGAAGGAAACTAACAGAGAAGAGTAAGAGAGGGAAATGTTTCCATTCTGTAAAAAAAGGGATAATAACATTTAATTACCTCAGAGGAGTACTTCAGATCCTCAAAAGAAAGATTAAGCAAAGTTGCAAACTATTCAAATTTTTCAGCAAAATGAATTGATGTTGTAACATCAGCTCTGATAACAGCTATAGCCCTGCCATATTTCTACATGTCACACTGAGCTATTCACTGTCAATCACATATCCAACTACTGGGCAATAATTAGCCTTGTTCATTTCTATTAGACTGAAATCTCTTTGGGACATGATGCACATCTTCATGCACATGTAAGTTCTATGGTTCATTGGTCCTGTTAAAGCTGATGAAGTTTTGACACTACCACAGTGCAAGTGTGAAACCACAGTGGATGTTGAAGAAGCTTCCATATTTCCATCTAGCTTACAAATGACAGGCTTGGATATAAGTATGCTCTATATTTCATGTTATTTGCTCTCTGGATGCTCTGTGGATGACTTAGTGCTGCTACATAGAGTTTCAAACTCAACCCAACTAAGGGAAGTAAACTCTACTGGAGAGAATTTATGCATGAAATTGAAAATTTATGGAAGACATTATCTAGTACCTTTATACTAACTGGCAACGTATGTACTTGCAGAGTGCAAACCTGGTTTTTATGGGTCAGATTGCAAACTCAGATGTAATTGTCACAATCGAGGGACGTGCGACAGATTTAAGGGCTGCATCTGCTCCCTTGGATGGCATGGTCTGCAATGTGAAAAAGAAGGTAAAGCAAGGTAACACGGTAGTAAATGACTTTTCCCCAGTGTAACTGAAACTGATCTTCATGATGGTGTAGCATTTCCACTTCAGGCTGGTATCCTTATGCTGTCAATTACATTCCAAGGGCCCACATGTATCTGTATACCTTTACTGTAGTGCAGTGTTTCTGAGCGCTATATGCTGCATTTTATAGGCCGGCATGCTACAGTTACATCTGACTTAGAGCAGACTTGTATCTGCTGCTTACACCGGGAAAAGAATTGCCAATAGGCTGAGGGAGGTGATCCTTCAGCTCTGCTCAGCATTCGTGATGCCATACTTGGAGTGCTCGGTCTGGTTCTGGGACCCCCAGTACAACAGCAACCATATCAGAAAGAGCCCAAAAATGGCCATAAAGTTGATGAAGGGACTGGAGCACCTATCCCATGAGGAAAGATTGAGGGAGTTGGGACTGTTCACCCTGGCGAAAAGAAGGCTTGGGGCTATCTCACCAGTGTGTGTTAATACCTGACAGGAAGGTGCAAAGAAAATGGGGCCAGGCACTGTTCAGTGGTGTCCAATGACAAGACAGGAGGCAGTGGACACAAAATGAAACACAGGAGGTTCCCCCTGAACATCAGGAAACATTTCACTGTGTGGGTGACCAAGCACTGACACAGGTTGCCGAGAGAAGCTGTGGAGTCTCCCTCCCTGGAGGTCTTCAAAAGCTGCCTGGACATGGGCCTGAGCAACCTGCTCTGGGTGTCACTTGAGCAGGGGGTTGGACCAGGTGACCTCCAGAGGTCCCTTCCAACCTCAATCATTCAGGGATTCTGTGACTTGCTTTCATTAAATGTAGTGTTACAGTCCTTACTCTGTAAGCTTTGACATCAGCCTTAATATCAGTTACTGAAAGGAGCTGGACATCCTACTTTCTTTATCAGCTTTTGGATAGGTTTGTGCTGTTTTACCTTTAAGGTTTATTGCATACCTGTTACTCAGCTGCACACACTCCTACACCACCAGGTTCATGATCTGAAATTGATGACAGAAACACTAGGACTACCCCAGAGTTTAAAGCAGCTCTGCCTCTTTGACAGAGTTAGGCTTGCAAAGCTGGATGTACTTCATTCAGAATACATTTGGATTCAGGCAAGGTGGGCACACAGCATTTTATGAAATGCACTCAGCAACTATCATTTCTGCTTGTTAAATAAAGTGATGAATTTATTGTTAACTTGTAAAAGTTTTCAAACACACGCACGCAAAAAGTAAAAAAAATTATAATAAATAAATAAATAAAACAGCCAAAGAAACAAAGCCATTGACCCAACCAGCTGAACTACACCATTGTGATCCAACTGCTCTTGTGAAAAGACATAATGGAGAGCTAATAGTTACTACACATTCACTGCAAATTGTGTGCATGATTTTGCCATAAGTAGTGTGTGTGTGCTTAGAATATAAAAAGGAACAAGAAAGAGAGGGAACGAAAGAGGAAATGAAGAATGCATAGAGGGGTTGTTTCTTCTCACATGCTCTTTACTCTGTTATAACAGTGTTGACTTTGGTAAGCTTTGGATATCCGTGGGTATGGTCACATACATGAGGGAGGATCAGATACGTATGCTGCCTAAGCTTTCCAGTGTACATGTGCATTATATGCCTAAGCGTGTTTGATGCTGCCTTTTGAAAGTTCTGTTTGAAGGATGACATTAAAATATTATATATATTCTGCAGGTTCAGCAGATCTTTCACCTCAGATAGAAAACTTACTAGACCCTGTGGAACTCAATTCTGGTGTGGAGTTCAAGCCTTTTTGTATAGCTACTGGAATGCCACTTCCTAAATCTGAAGAATTTAAACTTTTGAAGCAAGATGGAACTGTCCTAAGGGTGGGCTGCTGATTAATTGCTTCCTGTTATTTCTGATATTTATACTGACTTTATCTGTATTTAATGCACACTGTGCTTTATAAGCATAACATGAAATTCCAGTATTCTGAGATTATCATATTGCTTATCACACTGCTCATTGTTTGCTGTTCTTTATTTACTGAGTTCCTGTTCCAAAAAGTTTAAAACTTTGCTAGAATCCACATGACTTACAGGGCTAGCAAAAACAAACAGACAAAAAAAGTGATTTAGATGAATGGCTCTCACATAGGCTAGGAACTGTTGAACAACCAAATCAGATCATGTTGACATTCCTGAAAATGAGAAAAAAATCTTGACTTGTTGATAAAATGATAAATTATACTTTGAAATATATATAAGTAACTTACTTTTAATCCTGCTCTTCCTCTATGACTAACTGGTAAAAATGTAAAATATGTTACTAAATAGGGTAGAAATTAATCATAGTCTCTGAAATACTAGTGATTATTTATTTTTCAATTTTCAATTATTATTTTTAAATAATTTTAAATATTTTTTCAATTATTGAATCTACGTTGTGTATTGAAGTTATGTTTACTATGTAAATACTAAAAGAAGGAATACATATACAGCCTTTGATTTAAAGAGATAGAAATCAGATACATGGATTAGGATTTAAAGAGAATGAAATCAGATACATGATCAAACACAGCAGTCACCATGTGAGCTTCCTCAACTGTAGAAATAGAATTCACGGACTGAAGCATATGTGAATCTATGGAACTGACTTCTATAGAACCTCTCTAGTGACACCACTAAACCCTAAATGAATTCCTAGACCGAGAAAAGTGGAATGGAAAAAATCCGTAATGCCCACAGTTTTCAGGTCCATGTCTTTTGTCTTTTCAGCCTTCCTTAATTGTCACCAGTAATCGCTCAGAAGCTATGTTTACAATTAATCGAGTCCAGCCCCGTGATACAGGAACCTGGGTCTGCAGCGTGCAGACAGTAGCAGGAATGGCAGAGAAACCGTTTCAAGTTACAGTTAAAGGTAAGAGCATAAATCTTTTCTAATATCTTTGCCTGTCTATTTTTAAAAGAAGATTTATAGTCTAACATGGCAGGGCTTGCCATTCCTGAGCTGTAAAAAAATGTCTGAATAAATATCTATAGTCAGAATATAAACAGAAGCCTCTTATAAGTGGCACCCTAATTAACTGTATTGGGGTATAAAAGTGTGATGGTAAGGATTAAAAGAAGAGGCATTTTTTTATAAATTTTTTTTGAAGAATACAAATGGTGAGTTTTAGGGTCTAAACCCCTGTCTACTTTTTAAGAGTTTGGAAGAGCATCTCCCATTTTCCTGTAAATGTAGGAAGATACCAGAGTTTTACTGATGTAGGGAATTAAAAGGCTGGTTTAATACTTGCATTCTTGCTCAGTTCCTCCTGTGCCACAGTATGCCCCACGGCTGACAGACAGTGGACATAATTTTCTCATTATTGATATCAATGCTGAGTTACATCTTGGAGATGGACCTGTTGTGTCAACAAAACTCCTTTACAAGCCAGCAAAGCGGTATCAGTCCTGGATGTCTGTAGAAGGTAAGATTCTCTAATTCTCTCAAACACAAATTTCACGTACTTACTGAAACATAATTTGGTGTCTGCCCTTGACCCAGATTCAAAAGTCTCTGTAACCCATAAAAGCTAAATCTTTTATGACTGGCCACGTGGCTCTGCATAACAGTACTGTATAATGTTAATGTGAGTGTGGTACACTGACAGTGGTTGGAAGTGTTTATTCAATTTTCAGTAATCAAAAGGTTCCCCCCTTCTGCCCTAAGATAAACAGTACTCAATGCTGGGCCCAGCTGTTGAAGTCCTGTGCAAATTCCAGTTTTTCAAAAGCAGTGAGCAAGATGAAGAGGTACTGAAGCATCCGCTGTATTCCTGTATGCTTATTGTGCCCTTCACTGCAACAAATATTTTACGTAAATAATGATCAGGAATGGTATGGGTAAAGTGAAGCCTGCTTGTGAGTGAGATGACCACTTTGTCTAAAATACTACAGGAAACATTACAGGAAATTAAACAAGTAAACAATCATTACTCTAATCCATGGTACCCCAAGATCTGCACACAAAATACATACTGCTGAAGTAACCAGTCCTGCTCTGACCCAAAGGAAGGGTTGATGGAAACATCCCTTGGGCTGGGTCAGAACCCAGCGGTTACTATGGGCTTACATTGCTTATGTTAAAAATCCACATATTATATGCTTCAAATAGCTTATCTTAGTGAATTTGGAACAACAGAAGAGCCTGAGTATCTTACTTTCCGTGTCTAGTCATTCAGGAATACATGTATTTTCCTGCTCTTTTCTTTCTTATAATTTTTCAGTATGGGGTATTCAACTTTACTGTTTCTTTCTCCATCTCAGTAAAAGGCACAACCAAAAGACTGGACAATCTGGAACCAAAAACAGAGTATCAGTTCTGTGTTCAGCTGAGTCGGCAAGGGGAAGGTGGGGAAGGCCATCCCGGACCACAGGCTAGCTTCACAACAGCTGCACTTGGTAAGTCATCCATCACCTTGGCTTTTCAGAAAAGGGTCATTTCGGAGGGTTATTTCTGTGGTCTACTCCCTGATCGTCCAGAGCACTTTCATTTGAGCAATGTCAGCAGCTAGATGTGAAAAATATGGAGAGCCTTTTGAAATAATCTCAGGCAAAGGGGAAAAACAAAACAAACAAACAAAAAAAAAAAACAGGGGTGAAGAAAACCACCCTGTATGTAAGACAGTTCTATTATGCTCCCTGATTTAGAGGTGAAGGATCTGGGAAAGGAAAATATGCATAATTTGCCTGACTAAGCAGCAGAATTGGAGATCGAAAACACTTCTTTTGCGTGCTAGTCCTTCCTTCTAACACCAGATCGGTCCTTTCACTTACTATTAGATCAATTTACTTTAAAAATTAAAACTTTAAAAATTAAAATGTCTGAACAAGCAGATAAGTTTTCAGATCACTGAGGAGACAGCCCAAACTGAATACTGACGTACAAAATAAATGAGAATTCCACTAGGAATTACCAAACAAGACAGCAAATTTCTGGTAACTGGGTGGGGTGTGGGAGGGGAGAACTGCCCTTTGTCACTCTAAGCTAGAGCAAGTGGCTGGGAATAACTGGTACCCCTGCTTTGGTTTACATACCAGATGTGAAGTGTTGTTCCCTGTCTCACTGTGGCTTCTCCAAGGTCTTCCTCCACCAGAAGGTCTCACACTCCTTCCAAAAAGCACAACATCACTGAATTTGTCATGGCATCCTTTAACGCTGAGGACAGAGGACGACATTCGTGTTGAAGTGGAAAGGAAGAGCGTGAATGACAATGGTGACGAGAGCAGTGTTATTACTCAAGTGCCAGGAAATATGTCCACGCTGATCATTAAAGATCTTGAGCCCAGACAGCAATACATGTGCAGGGTACGGGTGAACACCAGGTCCCAAGGAGAATGGAGCAACTACCTGTATGCGTGGACTTTCAGTGACAGTAAGTAGCTGATTCACTTCCGCTTAATTCTTCCTCTTTCCCCCAGCAGTCAGAATGATTGTTTCTTAATTACTACATTAAAACAAATCCTTTGTTTTGGTAACACTCAGTTCCTGATGACAACCTGTCATGGTTGCTATTACTGTTATTATAAAGAAAATCTCTGTATTCAAAGGAATTCTTACCTTGGGAATTGTCAGGAACTGATGATGAGTTTTATGAAGGAAAAAAAAAAAAAAAAAAAAAAGGAAAAATAAGTGAAAAGCTTGGGAATTCACATCTTAATATCAGTGTGATTTGTGCTTCTAACACACATAGCATTTTTTTCTCCTTGTAGTGATGAACACACTGATTTTCATAATCTAAGCTCTTTTCTAACTCCAAAAAAAAACAACACTCAGACCCTGCAGTTCTGCCATGTCAATACAGGAAGAGTCAGCTTTTAAGGAACAAAAAGAAGATGCAATGAAAGGTACACATCCCTGTGAGCAAAGTGTAGTTTCAGTGTAGCTACGCTCAAGATCAGTACCTGTGCTTGAATTCCTGAGTGTGAACAGTAACCATGGTCACAACCATGGTTAAATAATTAACCATATTACCATTTTAACCAGGTAATATGGTTAATTACGTATTAATAACAAGCTAGAGAAGTGAGAAACAAAGAAAAGAAACCAAAAGCACCTTCCCCCCATCAGCCCTCTTCCACCTCCTCCCCCCGAGCGGCACGGGGGAATGGGGGTTATGGTCATTAACTTTAAAGCAATTATGCTGTCCTTGCAGAACAGCTTAGAGCATTCATATCCTTTTTGCAAGGACAGGGCTACACTGAATACTACTCCAACCTCTACTGGAAGTATGGAGTACTGCAATATGGGTGACTGCACATGGTTCATAAAACAGTTGTGCTCAGTTACCAAAGCTTGTCAACAAAATTCTTCTGTTTAGCACAACAAAAACACTGCGTAAAGTGTTTGGCCTCTGAGGGAAGGCAGAAGAGGTGATGTGCTCTCCAACACTTAATGTGTGTTTATGTCTGTTCCCAGGAATCCCTCCTGCACCATACAACATCAAGTTTTCTAACATCACTGACACATCTTCAGTCATCTCTTGGACAACTGCCGAGGGTCACTCCATCTCCTCCATCATCATCAGCTACAAAATTTATGGCAAGGCTGAGTACAACCACATCGACATTATCATTAAGAACACCACCATTACTCAATACCATCTCAAGGGCCTTGAGCCAAACACTGTGTACCAGGTTCAGATTAACGCTCAGAACAACATCGGCTTGAGCAATCCAAACACATCCTTTGAACTGAAGACTCTTCCAGAAACTAAAGGTTAGTTATTCCAGCATGCCGGGCTTGCACAAACCAGGGCTGATGGTATAAACCAGTTAGATAGAGCAAAGTCACAATATCCTTTTTTTGACTCTCAGTTCCCTACATGGCATCAGTGAAGTGGCAACATACAGCATTTGTGTGTATTCACTAGCAAGCGCCCAACAGCTCATAAATTAATGGAGTTAATTAGATCACTGAATGTGACCTCAGCTTTGCTCTCCCTGAAATAAGCAGGTGCTCACAAATCTGAAAATCAGAGCATACAATGTCTGTGACATTTTTGTAAAACAAGGGGATATACCTACATGTCTTTACACTGTTTATAAGATGGGAGTGTCTAGCTATGCACTGTTCATGGCTTTTTCAGAAATACCTGGAAATGACAAACTCTTTATGTGCTTCCTCAACAGCTCCATATGAATCCAAAGGAGGCAAAATGCTGCTTATTGCTATCCTTGGCTCTGCAGGGATGACCTGTGTAACTATTCTCCTGGCCTTTCTCATCATGCTGCAGTTAAAGCGAGCCAACTTCCAGCGCAGAATGGCTCAGGCTTTCCAAAATGTGGTGGTGGGTTTCTAGCTTTCCTCTGGCAGTGTGGCTAAACATTTTTGCCCCATCTTTTGCAGTGTTGGTTTTTGGTTTTCTTTTTTTTTTTTTTTCACTTCCTTTTCTTTGGCCTTTCCAAATACAATCTCCTCTTCATGTATGACATTAGTGCTGTTGCTAGTGACCCAGAGCTAAAGCAATCATAGCTATAGGCTACGAGACAGATGACCTGACTTGAAAAAAGATACACACAATTCATCCTTCTCTTTTCTGTCTTGTTGCCCCTGTGTATGACAAGTATCAAGCCATGCAGAATAGAAGAGCTTGTTTTCCTTTTGTGAAGTTGTGTCATTTTGAAAACTGCAGTACTTTTAACCATTGCTTTTGAGCATCAGTGACTGATCTGCCACATCTTTTTAACCTGGGGAGAGGACAGCAGGGATCAGTGAATGGCAACATCATATCTTTGGCAGTGATGAAATTGCTGAAGTTTGTAGTATCACGTAGAGCTCTCTCTGCATATACTTGTATCCTGCTGTAGCTTCTGCCTCACTCAGCTTTCCAGTGTTATCTCTTACTTCAAAGGGGAACCCACAAAGGAGAATGAAGCTGGGACAAGGAACTCCTCCAATTGGATTTCCACAGGTTATTTCTTAAAAAGGGGACTCATTCAAAAAGATGAATGGTCTCCAGGCCACAAAAAGAGTCCCCAGGCCACACAGAATAGGTCCTGCTCCTTGTCTTGAAACTTTTCCCCAAAAAAGTGTTTATTGGGCATGTGTGGCTGAAGTGAAGATGTTTCAAGTACAGCAGAGAATCATTTCCTGTCTCTTTTCTTTCCTTGCATTGTCTTTCTTCAGTCTTCTTACTGAGCCTGATTAACACAGAATTTACTCAATACAAACAAAAAGATAAATCTTGTCCTGAGACTTAAAACTGGTTCTAAGATCAATTTTTTCAAATGAGTTTTGTCCATCTCTTTCACGTTCACTAATTGGAAAACTGTTCAGGACGCCTAGTACAAAGGTACTTATGGATAAATTAGGAGTCTGATTAATTTTGTAGATCTAGGCACAAGTGCTTGATGCAGCCAGTGTCTAAAGTAGATGTAGTTTGCTAATGTACCCACTCGTGTGTAAGCAGGAGATGGTTCAGGTTGTGTGTATGCATACACCAGTGAGCACATATGTATTCAGGGAGGGTAAGCATGGTATTGCTCAGTAAAGAAGAAATCATACTTAACACCATCTGCTTAACTCTGTTACAGAGGGAAGAGCCAGCTGTACAGTTTAACTCAGGTACTCTCACTCTGAGCAGAAAAGCCAAAAACAGCCCAGATCCCACCATTTATCCAGTTCTTGAGTGGAATGACATCAAATTTCAAGATGTGATCGGGGAAGGTAACTTTGGACAAGTCTTGAAAGCACGAATTAAGAAGGATGGCTTACGCATGGATGCTGCGATTAAAAGGATGAAAGGTAGTAAAGATCAGACTCCGAGACTGTAGACTTCTCTTGGCTCTCTTGGCTGTTTTTTTGTTTGTTTGTTTCTTTGTTTGTTTGTGTTTTTGTTTGTTTTTTTTTGTTTGTTTGTTTGTTTGTTGTTTGTTTGTTTTTGTTTTTTCCAAGTGTTCCTCTGTCTTAAGAAGTGCTTAGTAGCCCCCTCCTAATGTTTAAATAAATATTCAAAATTACTAGTGACATTATAATGGCTGATACTAGGCCAAGATTTTTGTTCCAGCAAAGACTACATTTCTGCTCTGTCATGTTGGTCTATATTTCTCTTTAAATGCTAACATCATTGAGGATTATGAATTTTGTACTTCACAGACTAGTACAAACTTCACATGTGAATTTATTTGCAGAGGAGGAGCCATTAAAACATGCATTTGATAGAAACAGGTGCACTAAGCTAGCCTTGGGGCACAGCATTTAGGTATCTCGCTTGCCTCATCCAGTCACAGATAAATACATCTCTGCATCTGTACATACATACACTAAATCAAAGGTCACTTGCTTTCTTTGTCCTCATTGGGCCTGACTGTCATGTTCCAGAGAGAACTGCAACGCATGGAATACTGCAAGAACACATGTATTTTTTGTGATTCACTAGATTGTTACGTAGGCAAATTGGGAGTCACTCAAATAAAATCAACATTAAAAAATGAGCCAAGGTCTGCATGCAGGCAGAAATAATCACAAGCACACAAAAGGAAAGACTTTTAGGCAGCTAGCTGCAGTATGATCTGCTATGACTTTTTAACTTTTGAAATAAGTGACAGATGTGTAATATTAAAATGTTTTCTTTCTCTGGAGATGGCTGCTGCAAACATTATTTTCTCTCCTTTTTTTTTTTTTTCTCCTCTTTGAATGAAAAATCATATTTTTCAAGTAAATATTAATGTATCTTAGAGATTTCCTCTTTCTTTTGGGAATGAAGCTGTAGTGCCCCAGGCAGCCCAGAGTCCTCACAATTAACAATATAATCCTAAATTCAGTTCAAAGGAAAACATAAATGAACACTGATTTGATTTTCAGAGTATGCCTCAAAAGATGACCACAGAGACTTTGCTGGAGAACTTGAAGTCCTTTGTAAACTTGGTCATCATCCCAACATCATAAATCTTCTGGGAGCATGTGAACATCGGGGTAAGACACTATTGAATACATGTACTTCAAAAAATCATTAAAAACAACAACAACAAAAACAGTATAGATTCATATTGTCCGTAGAAACACCAGCTCATGAACAGGTTTTTCTGTGCAACACTTAAAAAGCCAAATACACTTGACATTAAAGCTACAAGTCCATGTTAATCCATCAGAAATGATGTTCACCAGTAGTTCTAAATTCTCTATTACACGTAGGAGTTACACCGTTTGATATTTCCCCATGAATCTGATTTGTTTATTTTATTGTTATTTTACATCAGTGTAGGTTTCCAAATACTATTGCTGAGTGTCTTTTACTTTGTGATACACTTACTATCTGATTTTTCATTAGGATATCTTTACCTTGCCATTGAATATGCCCCCCACGGAAATTTACTGGACTTCCTTCGGAAAAGCAGAGTGCTTGAGACAGATCCAGCATTTGCCATTGCCAACAGTACCGCATCTACACTTTCCTCTCAGCAACTTCTCCATTTTGCAGCAGATGTTGCCAGAGGGATGGACTACCTGAGCCAGAAACAGGTCAGTCCTAAATTTTCTACCCACCACGGGCAGAGTATTCATTTTTCAGGGACTATGCTTTTAAATGAGATCAATATAAGGTTTTAATTTTAGCTTCGATAGCACACATTGAGTGACCATTTTTTTGTTGTGTTCACTCAGCGCTATCAAATACTATGTCACAGGGAATCAAGGAGGAGGCATTCAAACTTACAAATCATGTAACTAACTGCTCTCATCTTTAGCTACAGTTTAAAATGTTCTTGGTAATGGCATACTAAGACATTTGTTTTGGTTTTCACTTTTATTCTAAATGCTTCCAATTTTCAGTGGAGCATTGAAATAACACATTTCAAGTTCACAGATACCATAGTGATTTCTGTTTTTTGTTTGTTTGTTTGTTTGTTTGTTTGTTTTTTAATTTTAGTTTATTCATCGAGATTTGGCTGCAAGAAACATCTTGGTTGGAGAAAACTATGTTGCAAAAATAGCTGACTTTGGTTTATCCAGAGGTCAAGAAGTTTATGTTAAGAAGACCATGGTAAGACTCAAAAGCCATATAGTCTGTTCTCATTTTTGCTTTCTTGTTTCTTACTTTGTATTGTAATATAAACAAAAATGTAAACTCATAGGTACTACAGAATTAATTATATACATGTATAAATACTTAGAATATACTAACGTAGAAATATTTATATTAACTATTAATACACTTGCATTACCTGTAAATCTGCTCTATAACAAGTTTATAATATATATAATTGACAATTACTTCTGTGAAGATGGATGGCAGTAAAATAACCAATTTTGTAATCAGTAATGAGATTTAGTTCAATTCTATATAGAAATGCATAGAATATACATTTGATGTATGATGGATGTGTAATGGAGCTGTGAGAATTATATTTTTGTGCCAGAGTTTATCTGGCTGGGGTAATCTAGTTTAATTTTATTGAACAAGCACAAAGTTAACAAAACGGTAATAACAGACACACTAGGATCTATGAGTTGACAAAACAGCCCTCCAGAGCTAATGCTTTGGAAGACATAGAAGAGAAAGATGTCTAATAAACATCAGATAACCACAGACCAGTAATAACACTGGGTGATCAAGGGAATGGGACTGCTTAGAGACTCATGACATTACTCAAGGATTATTTCCAATTTGTCTTGAGATGCTGGTTAGATAAATTTTGTTAGCTTTAGCTTGAACCGTCCCTTCAGTATGTAAACATACAAATCAAGTCATGAAACAAGTAATAAGTCTAATTTCTTAATGAAGTTTACTCGCTTACAGTCAGTTTTCATAAATATAACATGTAGAACAATTGCTGGGGATTAAATTGTGGTATCTGTTGGAATGGGTCCAGAAGATGATCATGAAGATGATCAAGGGGCTGGAGAACCTCTCCTGTGAAGCCAGGTAGAGGGAGCTGGGGCTGCTCAGCCTGGAGAAGAGAAGGCCCCAGGAAGACCTCATTGCGGCCTTCCGAAGAATGGCCTACAGGAAAGATGAAGAGAGACTCAGGGAGTGCAGTGGCAGGACAAGGGGTAGTGATTTTAAACTAAAGGAGGGAGGTTTTTATTAGATATAAGGAAGAAATTCTTCACTGTAACATTGGTGAGGCACTGGAACAGGTTGCCCAGATAAGTCTTGAATGCCCCATCCCTGCAAGTGTTCAAGGCCAAGTTGGGTGGGGCTTTGGGTAATCTGGTCTAGTGGGAGATGTTCCAGTCTATGGCAGGGTTGTGGGGTGAACTATATGTTCTTTAAAGAATCCAATCCAAACCGTGCTATGATTCTATATTGTTATTCCAACCACCAACAAACCAACTTTCATGAAATAATTTCCAGGGACGGCTTCCAGTGAGATGGATGGCAATTGAATCTTTGAATTACAGCGTTTATACCACTAATAGTGATGTGTAAGTATGTTTTAAAGTGTTTTTTTTTAAAATAATCTTTTTTTTTTCCAATATCAAGGAAAGTTTGATAGCAAGTATAAAGACATGCACTGAACCAAAAAAAACTCACAAACTATGTCAGTATGAGTAAGTAAATGGCAAGAAAAAATGGAAATCAACAACAAAAATTGTTACTTCTATTTCATCAGAAATGTCTGAACTAGTGTCCACAAGCTAATTAGATTTGGGTTACTAATAGAGGTACATTTCTCACTTGAAATAAAAAATTCTTCTGAATTCTCTGTTGAGTCAAAGAAAATCAGTATTTTAGTCAGGAACCTGGAACTGATATTTAGCAAAGCAATTCAGTAAGAACGCTGTTTTTGCTGAGAACGCTTAAGTCTAGTCAAGAACTCAGATGGAAATACAGGGAATTAATTTTGCTAAAGATCTCGTTCCAAGTGTTCCAGTTCTATGAACCCTAAAATTAAACAAAAATTGGTAAGAAAAAAAAATAGGGAGATTGATTCACATTTCTTTATGTTCTCCGATTATTAGCAAAATTACCTACCATTTTAAAATATGGTATCTTGTTGCATTCTGGTGGCATTCAATAATACTCCTCTCTTGTAGATGGTCATATGGTGTCCTATTATGGGAAATTGTTAGCTTAGGTAAGTATGTGGATTTTGTTCTGCACAAATAAACTCATCTGGGTCAAGCAACCTCTACTCATTCAGTCTGCTTACAGTTCCTTGCTTTGCATCACTCCGCTTTTTTTTTTTTTTTTTTTTTCCTGTTTCATTTTACAGAGCCTTATTTAGCTTCAGTATTCTTGGAAATACAATCATCACATTTTCAGCTCAGATACCATTCTAAATGAGAAAAACATCATGACCATATTTTCATGGCACTGTAAAACCCAGGGCATATCTAAATGTAAGATTCAGCATATCACATTACTTGTAGCCTTAATCCAAAATGCTGTCATGTTGATGGGTAGTTTTTGATCATCCCCCTCAGTTTTAAGTCAATATTTACATTGTAAATACTTCTTTTTGATAAACTTCACCAAGTACTGTCAAAGAAAATTTTTGAACATTAATGAAATTTGAAGGATTTGTTGGTTTTTTGTTTGTTTGATTGGTTTGGTTTTGTTCTTGAGTAGTTGAAAAGCTGTTTTGTTGTTACTGCTTCCATAATGCATAATGTGCAGTTAGAAGAGAAAAATGAAAGCCAGTATAAATTTTTATCACCTACAGGGCTGGTATAAAAACATACTGTCTAATGTTGGACTAATTCACTTGTTACTGAGTCAGTCATTGTTTTTCCTATCTGCTATGAAATTACATTTTTTAATTAAAAAAAATAGTGTTCATCACAATGATTAAACCCTGCTTTAGGTGGAACACCATATTGTGGAATGACATGTGCAGAACTCTATGAAAAATTGCCTCAAGGGTACAGACTGGAAAAGCCTCTCAACTGTGATGATGAAGTGTAAGTAACTGCCTCGGCAAACACAAAATGAAACACAGCATAATCTATAGGAAATAAACAAATGTCTACAAGAAACGATTTTTTTTTTTTTTTTTATAAAAACAAACATTACATTAAAAATTGAAGGGTGCACAAGTGGAAATAATTATTTCAGGCCCTTCCTGCCCAGCATGCACTGTTACTTGCAATGAGCCCTTTCTGAGGCTTCCCGCTCCTGCCAAATATACTGTTCTCAATGCAATATGGCTGGGCTTTCACTTGAGGTTCTTGATTATTCCATAGAAAAATATTTTTTTTCCAGACAGAAACCAAATGTTGAAAATATAGATCCAGATATGTATACAAGTCCTTTTAAAAATAATAAATATAAAATTTATTATATATAAATTTTATAAAATTATTTTATAAATAATAAATTTACAAGAACTAATGGCTCTAACCTATGTGTCTAAAACATCCTGTGTTGGTGTTTGCTTTTAAAGGTATGACCTAATGAGACAGTGCTGGAGAGAGAAACCATATGAAAGACCATCATTTGCTCAGATATTGGTGTCACTGAACAGGATGTTAGAAGAAAGAAAGGTAAGAATTAATCCACAGAAGTGAATTACGCCATGAATAATTTCAATACAGTTTAGGATTCTTGAGGTAATGCAACTTGTATCACACTCTTTGCTTGCTTCCTTCCCAGACCTATGTGAACACTACCCTATACGAGAAGTTTACCTATGCAGGCATTGACTGCTCCGCTGAAGAAGCTGCTTAAGACAGAAGAAATCTACATCCACCAACGATGTATTAAATAAAACCAAAACTCAATCTGCTGGAGCCCAAAATGTGATGTGCTGTGTAGAATCATGTATAGTTCTAACTGTATATAATACAGTTATACTGTTTTACTACAGATATCTATGTGTATATCACACAGTAACCCCTGCCTCCACAGACTGTAGAAGTGTACATACTGCTCTGAGTAGGAATAGACTGAAGTCATAAAATCTGTTTCATATGCAGGGTATTCTTCTTTTCTAGTCATGTAGGTGAAGTGTATACATTACAATTATTGTAGTGAATTACATGTTGCCATCTTAGACATGTTTGATACTTTTCAAGAGCTACTGATAGCAAAGTCAGTAACTTACAGCAGTATTTCATATACATTTTAATTGTGATTCAAACAAGAATGTTATGTTCTATGTGACAGTGGTATTTGCAAGCAGATGCCAATCCAGTATTGTCACCAAGAATACTAAGGTTCCTATTTGAAAGTAAAAGTAAGGTTGTAGAAATAATCTGTTCAAGAATTCTGCTGAATACACTTGGAAGATATAAGGAATAATATTGCTTTTCCAGCGTCCAGTTTGACAGTATTTGCCTAACTTCTAAAAACAGGCATATATTTTGAAGTGTTTGATGCTATCTAAAGCAGCCATACAGCAATTATCATGAAGTGCAGGACTGAAGAACGTAATACATCAGCCTGGATATAAATGAGGCTTTTTCAATTTGTTTTTCATTTGATAATTACCCTGCATAATTAAAAATTACTACTTATTATGTACAAGCAGGATTTACTTACTTTTTCTTATTTTATCTGTTACACAGGTTGTTGTATGGTATAGCCTCTTAGAAATGCTTTACAAAAATGCTTCAAAACTGTGGTATCTGGTCTGCCTGAAAGATCTTCCAGCCCTTAAGTGAGACAAACAGAGACAGGATTGGCATTACCTCCTGGCATGAAGTCAGTCACTTGGGATCCTGCAGACTTATCTCATCCAAACTTCACACATCTGCTAATTTCATACTTTGCACAAATGTTCCTCTTATCCCCCAGGGACTCACCGGCTCATAACTGCCTGTTGGATCACGGTGACTTTCTAGCTGAGTGGATCCCTTGCACCTGGAAGAGGCTAGAGAGAACAAAATAGAAAGGTTTCCTTCTGATGCTTACTTTGTAGGTGGCTTGGTTACAAGGCAGGGATACCAGAGCAGAATACATACATAACTGGCATGTATCAGTCCTGACTCAAATAGACAAAGCACTAAAAGCCTCATTAAAAGGGAGTCCAGCAGAAAACAATGACACTGAGATCAGGTGCACTGCCTTGAGATTGGCAGAGTTTGCACTGTAATTACAAGTGCTACAAGCTGAGTTTACAGAGATTGCACAGACTCACTGGACTAAGGGAACCTCAGCAGAACTCTTCAAAAATGGAAGAGAAGAAAAATTCCATGAATTCCAGGTATTTTTCATAAAAGATTACTTGGTAAGGCACCTTTGAAGTATGGGGATTGCATTTGGCTGTCTGACCAGGTTTCTATAGGTCTGCAAAATGAACACGAAGGGACCTCCATAGATGCCCTGGCTGACAGGCAATGCTAGCTAATAACTTCTGGTAGAAGTTCTCCACTTTCTGTAAAGAATTTTTCATGTGTCCAAAACAGCTTGTTGTCCCACACGCCTGAGAAGCAGACACTACTGACTGTTCTACTACTTGATGTAAGCCCATTTTTCTGTGGCAAGCTTTTATTTTAAGCAATGTCATGTAAGGAAAGATCAGTCATTCACCAGCCCAGTAGGTCTTAAAGCTGTCTGCATTTTAAGTGTTGAAGTCCTCTGTAAATTTATCTGAAGGTCATTTAAATGTCTTTGTAAATGTTCTTCGGAACCTCAGTTAACATTGTGGTAACATTGTGGTATACATAGACTTTCTGATTTGCTCTAATGAAATTTAAAGATTATTTTTAAATTGTCATTTGAAAATATACAGAAGTAATAAACTCAATACACAGCTTGAAATGTCTCTATTAGATCTACACATCACAGAACTACAGCTATTAATAGATTGCTTGCTTCTCCACTTGCAACACACACTGTGCGTTCCACATTCAGTATATTACTCTGTTAACCAGGACTGGAAAATCTGATTTATGGTGGTTGGTGGCATAAAAAGGTTTCCAGCCTACCCATTAGTGGTTGTATGCTCTGCCTTCCACAACACATTATATCAGATCCCATGTCCCCCCTGTATGCTAAGATGTCTTTATTTGTTTCTCTGCTGTTAAGAGCATAACACTATCTACTCCCAACAGTTACTAGTCCAAATACCTCACATCCTAACATCCTTTATACACTTCTACATATTTACACCTGCCTACTTCTTTGCACAAGCTTACTCTGTTACCAACTCTTCTACACATTGCTTTTTGATAGTATTTCCTTAGTTTTCCCACATTTTCTCACATACTGTTAATAAGCTCATACTCAAGACAAGTATATGCTTGGGAAAGAATAGAGTTTCAGACAAGTGAAGCTGGACGTGCTTTGAGGAGTATGTGATATACAATGGAAAGGTAACTGTTTACAGTCAAGCATTATCCATAGTTTGAAATTATCAGACAACTATTCAGAGACAGAGGAGCCTTAAAGAAAAAAAAAAAAAAAAAAAAAAAAAAAAAAAAAAAAACATAGAAGAAATACTTGCATACAACTTCTCCTGCAGAAATTCTCCCCATCTCTCACTTTGGTTTAGTGCAACAGTTCTGATTGTTCAACACTGAGTTCAGTTAGACAAAAAACAAGTCCTTAACACTCCAAGGAAATCTCAAGAGCTACAGAAGCATACAGCATATTTGACAGGAAAGCTAAGAAGAGATCTGAGAACAGATATCACATACTAGGATAACAAAGTTCCACCAGACACCATTGTGTGTGTGTTGGGGGGGGAAATAAGTGTCCAAACAAGAACCTTTACCCTCATTAGATCAGCCAAAAAGTAAAGCATAATTGCCCTGAGGCTGAATCCAACTACTGTGTTCAAAGGCTGCACTTCTCCTACTCCTTACTCCTCAGTAACAAAAAAGAAAAAATGCATCGTCTCAAATGATAGGTATATTCAATTCCTACTTCTCTGTGAACAGGTTGACTTTAAACTTTTGTTTGAAGTCACACATGGCCTCTTCTCCACTGCCCAAAACATAATGGTTGGGCATTTGCTTAAAAAAAATAAAATAGTGTTGACCATTATATCAGAATGTGCATAAGTACCTGGTAGAAAGAAGTTAGGAAGATGGAAATGTGCTCTTCTCAGTGATATCCAGCGACAGGATAAGAAGTATTGGGCACAAATGGAAATACAGGAAATTCCATTAAGGGTGTTCAATCCATAGAAGAGGTTGCCCAAACAGGTTGTGGTCTCCATCCCTGCAGATACTCAAAACCTAACTGGACACAACCTTGCTTTGACCAGAAGGCTAGACTATATGTCCCAAGGCTAGACTAGATCTCCCAAGATGCCCTCCAGTCTCAGCTATTCTGTGATCTCTGAAAGACTGGAGAAAGAGGAAATACAGAAAATAAGCAGAGGCCCATGTAAAGCAACTAAATTACATAGGCCTAGTTCAACAAAACAAGTTTTGCCTCTTACTGTTAATTCCCTCCCTGTGCTGGTACATGACATTCCTGCTTCCAACACACCGTTTTGTCTTTCCCTGAACCATTCTGTGATACTAAGCCACATACTAATCAGCCATTACCATCTGCAATGCCACTGCTTGGTCACAGGGGAATTCAGATTAAACAACAGTTGGAACAAACAGCCTGGAGCAGTTTGGATTGCTAAATCAAAATCCTCAAATATATCAAATTTACTATTATGTTTCCTTATAACATTTCAGAGCTATTTCACATATTCCCTTACCAGCACAACGTACAATATAGGTGATATCCTCACAGTAGGAGGCAGAAGCTTCAGCAAGTCCCTCCAAACTTCAGATTACAATCAGACCATGCCAAGTCTCCCACATCTCACAAACATGAGCTAAAATTCTGGCTCTTGAAGATGCTGTGTCATGTTTTGCGGTAAAGTCTTCATCATAAACATACACAGGAAAAAGTGTGCTTAGAGCAGCAGAAAGATGACTCAATCCCTGGAGCAATGACTTAAGCCTAACTGCTCTTCTGTTCACAACACCTTTCAGTTTTGGTGAAACTTTATTACTTCCAGGATCAGAGGATTGCTCCCCTTTGCCACTTTTTCAAAAAAAAAAAAAAAAAAAACAAACTAAAATTCTTTGACATGTTGTGCATAGTATTTTTATCAATAGTCAACTACACAAAAAAGGTATGAAGAGGACAAATCAGACAATGGATGTTCTTTAGGTTGCCTATAAAATCTGAGTTATCAGCTTGGTCAGCGCTAACAGTTAGTAGAGAAACCTGTGTTAGTCATCCAACAAAGAGTAACAAATTCTGTAGAGTAGGCTTTCATCTAATTCCTCAGATTCACTCAAAGCCAAATAATAACATCAATCTTCACAAAAAAGACCTACTTTCAAAGTTAGACATTCCAGGATCCAGGAGCAAATATATCCTCCTTAAACAAAACAAAACAAAACAAAAAACTTCAAAGCCATTCTGTAAGCTGTAGTAAGGTGTTTTATTTAAGCCACAATCTGAGTATTGGAGAAAGGACAATTAACAAGTAACACTACTTCTAACCACAGCTACTACCTCACAGTATATTACCGAACATGAGGCATGCCCTAGACACTGAAAAAGCATAAAAACAAGCACATTGTTTTTTGTTTTTTTTTTTTCAATATAAATCTAGTCATGCAGTTTACTTGTTGTTATTATGCACAGCATGTCCATGACAACTGCAAGATCTTCTCTATGCTACTCATGTTACAGACACCTCAGTCAAGACCATTTTCCCCACACACAGAATATTTTTTCAGGAATCAATGCAAAGCCATATCTTCATCTTTACGATCCTGTAAAAACAGTTTTGTACATTTTCTTTTTATTGTATTTGATTTCCTTCACACGGAAGTGGCAACAAGACTTTAAAACCTTGAACTTACATCCCTTTGTGAAGGTAGCAGATGCTGCATTTTGCTTTAAGAGGGAGGCAAGGAATTACAGCTTATAGTATAGTCCAATTCTAGCTGAAGCAATAAGCATGCTTATTTCTTGAGATAACTGTGCTTTTAGGAACCCCAATAAAGCCAGAAAAGCACACTGAATTTTCACAGTTGAAAAGCTTCCATGGTCTTACATGGTCTTTTTTATTTATTATTTATTTTTTAAAGAGACCAGTTTATTATGCTCCATAAATGATCCAATTTCTAGTACTGTGCCTTTTTGTGTCAATTAACATAGTAGTTCATTGAAGTAGCTAGGTTTATTTTCCCTCTCTCAGGAAGCACAGAGAGGTGGAGAGAAGCAGATAGGGAAAGGGAGAAAAAAAAAAAAATCTTAAATCAACCTTTCATCACACAATAGTAATTAGAGCACTTAAGCATTATTTGCTGGAGGCTGAACAAGAAATAATCAAATTATCTCCAGAACTTTAAACAAGTGCTTTCAGTCACTGTGATTGGTATATACAGCTACGTATAATAGTAATGATTAATGATTAATTAATGATTAATGATAGATGATTACAGAAAGTATTATTTTAACAGAACAGATTTGCTATTTAACACAAAAGCATTCGCTCAGTGTATCCTACTTCTATTTTGTGCATTTATGTTCATCTTAAGCATCAAAAGTAGATGAAGTATGATTTTTACATTAAGTTTTCCCACTGCACTCTTTTACACATGAAAAATAATTGCTACTGAAGCTTTAGAGTCAAATTACAGTCATTAGCGAGTCAAACCAAAGTAGAATTTTAGTCCCACCATCCAGTTCCTTCAAAGTCAAAATCATCACTATTTTCTCCTTTTTTTGTCCTCCTTTATTTTCCAGAAGATCAGTTCCATACATGCAATTGCATCTTCAGTTGAATTATGGCCATTAACTAAGGGAGAATAAAAAATATTAGAAGTGTCAGATTACACATTTCTTTATAAAATAATGGTAGGAATAATGGTAGGCTTGTTTATTAAGAAGCTGAACAACTGTGAATAACGTTGAAAGAGTACCTAGCATCCAGACTGTTTTTGGTGCAAGTTCTTGCTAAACTCAAGATAACTGTGTCTAGATAACTGTGTCTAGAAGCTCAATATTGTCTGGTAGTATTCCATTTCCTGCCACATCCTCTAGTCCTCTAGCTTCAATATACAATTGAGCCTGGGTTAGTAAACTAGAGCATCCAACATAACTGTCTTTGGAAAGTCAGCCTCTCCAAATCTTGTGCAAAATCAGAAGTTGAAAGAGCAACTGAAGACAAACTGATTTACAACTAGGTGGTAATTTTCTCCTCAGAGATAAAGATCTGCTGAAAGAACCAACAATATCTGAACTAAATGGTGTTAAAGGAATTAAATTATATATTGATATACGTTTTAAGAACATGTTTATTCAAAGTCAACAATTTAAAATAACAAGTCTACATATATTTTATACCATTCCTGTAACTACATTAGTACAGCAACAAAGTTTCAATGCATTCTGGCTGCAAAGTGGTGATAGCCACACAAATAAACTATCCGCACAATGTTCATTAATTGTCACTTTATGTAGGCACCAGAATACCCTTCCTAACATTAAGTCAATATAAAAGAAAACATTGGCCATCAGGATAACAGTATGTAATTATGTATGTTATTAAGTATGCAAGTTCTGAGCACTCCGTAATGAAAGTCAAAGCTGCATGTTGAAGAAATTAGACTCTAGCAAGTCTAGGATAGGTATAGTATAGGCTATAGTATAGTATTCAGCCATCTCCATACAGAGAAATTGGTTTCAAATTGAGAGATTTGAATTTGTGTACCTCATTTACCTCATTAAATCCTAAACAGGCTAAACAAAGGCAAATTAGTCCTGGAGAAGAGAAGGCCCTGGGGAGACTGTATAGCATCCTTCTGGTACCTGAAGGGGGCCTACAAAAAAGTTGGGGAAGAACTCTGTCAGGGTGACAGGCCAAGGGGTAACAGCTTTAAACTAAAAAAAGGTACATTTATACTAGATATAAGGAAGAAATTCTTCACCATAGGGGTGGTGAGGCACTGGAACAGGTTGTCTAGGGAAGCTGTGGGTGCCCTATTCCTGGAAGTGTTCAAGGCCAGGCTGGATGGGGCTTTGAGCAACCTGGTCTAGTGGGAAGTATTCTTGCCTATGGCAGGGGGGTTGGTCTAGGTGACCTTTAAGATCCCTTCCAACCCAAACCATTTTATGATTCTGTGATTCCAAGAGTGGAAGTTTTAATAAAGGTACAGAAGATGTAATTTAAACAGGTTTGGGATATGGGCTGGTGATTCAGAAACCCAAAGAGTCGAGGAAAAAAACCCCGACATCATAGAGTTAGCTTTTTAATTTGAAGGTGGTAAAAAATCCTATCCCCTTTCTGTTTTGAGCTAATGGCTCAATAAGCAAACAGTATGGCTTCTTTGCGTTATATCACTGCATTAATGCACTGATTCCACATGCTTCAGGCAGGGGAGAACAACAAACAATACAATACATTGACAGTAAGGACAAAATAATTCTTAGATTTAATTACAGTGTTCCATTTTCCAAAGAAGCAGAGGATTTAAGTGCTATCATAACAAAAGATGACTTAATAGAGGTACCACTTTCTAGCTTTCTCTTGTAAAACTTAAATGCCAGAGATTTTAGATCATTTTCCATATAGCAGCCTAGACTCAAAAGGAAAGATCTTCAGACTGGTAGTTGCAATTCAGATATATATTGGCATACAGCAGTGAAGTATTTCCTTGGATGTGTATGTGGCTATGCTTCCTTCCCAACAAAAACATAATTTAAACAGTTGTGACAGACAAGCTGGTGAAAGCACTCACGTAACACACCAATGTCACTGCAAATACAAGAAATATCTCTGCAAAAGTTTCTATACTTGTACAGCTTCTATAAAAACTGGACATATTAAAAAAGCCATAGAAGCAAACTGAGGAGTCATAATCCTGTGACCTTTCCAGACCCTCTATTATCTTTTGCCAGAGAAAGTTGCATCTGCTTCACACCCCAGACTTACTATTCCACTTTTCAGATGCTATTTTAACTACCCAAGGAAGTGTAGCCTGCACGAGACAGTTTTTTGTTTTGTTTTGTTTTCAAGCAGTCTAGCAAAACTCAGTTATTAAAGCCATGGTTTTCCAGCCAAATCAAGTATTTGGTATTTTGTAAGACAAGCTACCTCAGCAATGGCAGCTCTTCTAACAATCCTTGGGATAACAACAACAAAAAAAAAATAATTCAAATTTCAATTTAGTTATTTTCCTCTTCTAAGAGACAGATCAGCAGAAAAAAAAAAAAAAAAAAAAAAAAAAAAAAAAAAAAAAACAACAACAAAAAAAATCAACCAAACAACCAACCAAACAAACAAAAACAGCATAAACACAAGGAGGGGAAGTTATGTGTCAGGATTATTTTTTCTAGAAATGGCAGCTGTTCAGCTCTATAGGTTACATTTCAAATTTAGCTCACTGGTGATCAAAGAATGATTAAATCCAGACTCCAACAGAGCAGTCTGGAAAATGGCAGTTTTTACTATTTGAGATAGCCATCTAAAATTCTGTACAAATAACTTTGACATTCCTTTCATTCTCACCACAGCCTTGTGCATAAGACTGTTAGTGCAAAGTAAGTCAGAAGATGTTACAAGCTTTCGGTTGCAAAACCCAGCTCCTCCACAGTCTTAGTTTTGCTCACTGCTACTATTTATCTATTCCCTGGGAAAGAAGACACATTAGCAGAATAGAACTTCATCAGTGAAGCCTCCTGGAGAACAATTAAGAGCAAACAGGCAACTGCCCGTTCATTAGAAGAAACTGAATTTGAGTATGTAAGATCAGACTCAAAACAATTGTACATGGTCAATGCAATATACATCTGTCAAATGTACCATTTCCTAAGTATTATACACACGGCATAGAATAGGCTTATTCATTTGTCTTTTACAGCCTAGAAGTTTACTCTAATATTATTACTGAAAAGCACAGTATTTGAATTGAAGAGTTCTTCTATCAGCTTGATTTAGCAACTGAATCTGTAATAGAAGTTAGCCTCTTCACACTACCTTCAGGATTTTTTTCCAATGTCCCTTCTACAAGACAAAGCAACTGTAACACTTCTATGTGATGATCACTTTGACAAGTCAATCACCTTATACATCCTCTGCATTTACTGGAACTAATGTACCCAAGACAAAGCTTTAAATTACAGCAAGTGTATTACTTTATCTTACAATTTCCTGGGTTATTCCTGTCTACCAATTCATGACACAACATACTGATTGCTTAGTAAAAACCCATGCTCTTACCATCACCCTGATGAATTCTCATGAGGTAGTCAGCCATCAGACTCCGAAGTGCTCTTTTGTTAGGTGGACCTAACCGATGAGGAAATAATATTGATGTGTCCACTACTGTGTCATGTATCAGCTGGAAAAAAGCAAAGGCCACATCAATGATGACATATCCAGTTACAGTCTGGCACCTCCTTTTACTTATTAAAGAAAAAATATGAAGGATCAAAATCATTTACTTTCTGAATAATACATCCAAGCTAATCCTTGAACTCTTAATACTATCTCATCTGTCCTATGTTGCTCTAATCACCGTAGAACAGCAAGCTGTGGTGCAAGAACTGTGGAAAAATAGTGTTGTACAGTGATTGCTGTACGTTTGTGCATTGACATTTGTTAGTTGTGTATATATGAGGGTGGCATCCTTGCCTATGGCATAAGTGCTGGAACTAGACGATCTTTAATGTCCATTCCAACACAAGGCATTCCATGATTCTGTGGTTTCACTTGCATGAAATTCTATTAACACTAAATTTTAATTCCTTCACTAGTAATAATGATAGAATCACAGAAAAGTTGAGGTTGTTAAGGTTCTCTGGGGATCATCTCTTACAGTCTGTTTAAGCAGGGTCACCTAGAACAGCTTACCCAGAACTATGTCCAGGCAGCTTCCCCCACAGAGGAGGACTTCACAGCCTATATGGGCATGCCAGTGTTTGGTCACCCACATAGTAAAGAAGTTTTGCTTGATGTTCAGAACGCCTAGGGCATCCCTTGTGTTCCCATCCTAGTTTGTGCCCATTGCTTCTTATGCTGTCACTGGGCACTACTAGAAAAAGCCTGTCTGTCTTCTTGAAATCTTCCCTTCTATTAGTTAGAGACATTGGTAAGATTCCCCATAAGCCTTTTCTTCTCTAGGCTGAGAAAAGTTTGCAGATGGTTGTGTTCTTCATGGAATATTGCTACCTTTGATATATAATAGCATAATCCATGTATTTCTGGCAGCTACTGGTGATTACTTGACAGGCAGCATTGTTGTTTCCAGAGATTCTAAGAGCAATACACTGGTATTATTTGAGTGTGCCTCCTACAGTTTTGCAGTCACAAGTTCAGCAATATCAGAAAGCAATAAATTTCAGGTTTCTATCAACCCAATAATAAGGATATCATTCTTCTACAGTGATGCATGGTTACCTAGTTAGAAACACAAAACAGCAGAGTAGAAAGCCCAAGTCTCAGAAAGTTTACCATGCCACATCTTAATGTTTCTTCCTTCTATGAAAGTAATTTTATCTTCAGTACAATTGTCATATACAATCAAGTATATTTCATTTTCATGTATTAGTCTGCTGAAACACAAAATTCTTTTTGAAAGTAATTATAACACAACATGACAAGTACTCAACTCCTAAAATCTGCTTCAAACAGCTTATTTTACCTTGAGAACGAAGAAATCATTTTCTAAGCTATGTCCAATCAAAATTGTATCTGCACTGAACAAGTTCAGCAGTACTGCCTGTACGTCCCGAAGAGTTGTTTTCGTATTCTTCAAGTTATCTTCTGTTACTCCTGAGAAACTAAGGACAGGTTTAGAACAACATCATTAACAGAGACATTAAGAAATATTTCCCGAACACCTAAAGTAAACCCTAGTTGACAAGGCATTTTTTCCATTCTACTCCTTTTCACTTAGACTGTATGAGGTAATTTAATATCATGTAGCTTTGTTCAACTTCACTGTATCACTACAAGCAACTGAGCCTATGTTTTAGGTACAGACTGAAAACAAGTCTCTGAGCAAACTGTTATTGCTGTCAAGGAAGCAGGCACACATTATGCTGGTTCTCCTTTATTTTTTATATATATATTTTTTACAGGCAGACTCAAAACTTGTTTCTTCTCAGAGCAGTTGCAGGACTTCAAGGAACTAACAGGAGTCTAAAACTTATTTTTTTCCAGATCTCAAAAATAAGACCCAGTAGGAGGACAGAATACAAGTGGGCTAAATACAGCCAAATCTTATTAAACTGTACAGTTGTGGTTTAACCCAGCTGGCAGCTAAGCACCACACAGCCATTCACTCACCCTCCCCACTCCCTCTCTGGGATGGGGGAAAGAAACAGGAAAGTGAAGCCTGTGGGTTGAGATAAAGACAGTTTATTAGGACAGGAAAATAATAATAATAATATTGATAATAGTACTACTACTAGTACTGTGTACAAAGAAGTAATGTACGATGCAATTACTCACCACCTGCTGACCAACGCCCAGCCTATCCCCAAGCAGCCAGCCCCACCACCCCAGCTAGCCACCCCTATATATGACCCCATATGGTATGGAATACTCCTTTGGTCAGTTTGGGTCAGCTGTTCTGGGTCTGTCCCCTCCCAGGTCCCGATGCACCCTCAGCCTGCCCGCTGGACAGAGAGAGGAGCTGAAGTCATTGGCTTAGTGTATGCACTGCTCTGCAACAATTAAAACATCAGTATGTCATCAACACTCTTCTCATCTTAATCCAAAGTATAGCACCCTACCAGCTACTAGGAGGAAAATTAACTCTATCCTAGCTAAAACCAGGACAACATTCTTACAGGTTTATTAGATGACTTATGACTATACTGATTTTCAGTGAGACATTTACAGATGAAATTTGAAAAATTGAAATTGCTTTAATTCTTAGGGAATGCAGCAAGTCCTGTAAGGTTAAACCTATTGTGTTTTTGTGTTGTGTTTTGTTGTTGTTGTTGTTTTTTGTTTTTTTGAAGGAAGGTGGGGAGTCTTCAGTGTAAAAACAAACAAATTGTTCAAAGAGAAACGTCTTTCTTAATTAAGTCTGCAAGAATGAAAGCCTCATTCCTGACTGAAAGTCTTCAAGTTGTGTAACTAGTAATAGGCATTTAATAGATGCAGGTTTCTGCTTACATCTGAAGTTCACATCTGCCAATTTAGGGAGCCTAATCCTCAAGTAGTATAGACAGAATAGCATACCTTGTATTGTAGTCTATAACTTCATTATGGGGTTTAACAAACGTATCATAGACAACCTGTAGCTTATCATCAACCACTGTGACTCTAGTAAGTTCCAGGCCTTGGCTTGTATAACACTGAAGAAAAAAATAAATTTAATGAGCATTTATTCAACACCAGTGTTTCTTTATAGTACATGGCTATACAAAACGTAGAACCAGCTACAGCATCAAGAAATCCAAACAGCTTTGCTCGCTGCGTATTTAACACAGAAGGTCCATTCACTTACAGTAACCAGCCAGAGTTCTGCAGGCCTCTCAGAGCTATGAGGGCCAAACTACTACACCCAGGAAATTGCCTCGTAAGTAGCAGTATACTTTTAACTGAACCAAATTTTTAGGTTGTTCATACCATGTCACAGTCCAGGGCATATATACCATGTTTTTTATCAGAAGGCGGTGATTTAATTAATGTCTTCACAAAGCCATCCAATGTCTCCTTTCTCCCATCATGAACGTGAAGCTGCAAAATTTCCATTAGTGTTTACATGCAGGCTTGCTAAACTTATCTTAAACAAATTGCCAATCTGTTTCTCTAATAGATTAAGGAGCACATATATTTCCTGTCAGTAGGTGCCAACAAATTTATTAAGCCTTAGGCAAGGAAACCCAAAAATCTTATACCAGGTAGCTTGCAAAAAGACACAACCCAGCTTCAAGTCAACAGGATGCTAAGGAAATCTGAGATACTGCATTAAAGAACATTAATCCTACCTTTGCAATCTGGCACCCAGGAGACCCAACTATTCCTTCACAACAGCTATAGTGTTTTTCCAAGCCACCAGCAACTGCCAAAAAGAGAAGTTGAAAGTGAAGCAGTTTTGCAGCAAATGGCACTGGCAAGGAAAAAAAAAAATCAGCACCTTTACTCCTTTTCCACTTTCTCTTGAGACTGCACTATGGAAAGAGGTAAGCCTGAGTACTGCTCGGTACCATCAAGACGGTGCTATGTCACTTGTACCTCAATAAAAGGTTGTAAATCAAAGAAAATGCTAACAAATGGGAGAAAGTTGTAATATTCCCTGTGAGGTTCTCACTGTGGGAAGCATTTAGTATAGCTTTGAGTTCTTAAGGAGTCTTAGCAGAGATGACAAGGTTCATTTAGAAGTCAATACTGGGCCACACAAGGAGTATTTTTCTCCGTTCTTCACATGGGGTTTTATCAACATCAACTTTCCTGAACTTATGGCATATACAGAGAAAACAAGCTCCAGTAACTAGACACGTTACTTAGAGAACAGCAGAATGTACCTCATCTGTGGTACTCGTGCAAAAGAGTTTACACTGATTTTATTCAGTCTTGAGATGAGACGTCATGACTTGTAACAGCTTCCACAAAGACTGAATACCAAAGAGTACTTACCTCTTTGTTCCAATAGCCTACCAGAATGGTAGTTGCATTCTTTAAGTCTATGTTTTCCTGAACTAACAGTAAATACTTCACCACACCTACAGCATGTTCTTCGGAACTCTAAAAAAAAAAAAAAAAAAAAAAAAAAAAAAAAAAAAAAAAAAAAAAAAAAACAGTATTTCCTCACGAGCTTGTCAGCAAGTTGAAAAAAGATGAAAAATACTGCATTGAAGTATGAAAGTTACATGAACAGTAACTGCAAGACCAGCAAATCAATACATAAGCAGAGTCTCCCAAGACTTGCCATGAGTTTAAGATAAATAAAGCTCCTCTCTAGCACTTTCAGTGTCAGGTTTACGTGCAAGATCAGCTGCTGTGCTGATCACAGTTTAGTTATAAAAGCTTGTGAAGTTATTTGAGGTTCAGGAACTAAGTATGAAACTACTTTGTATTTTGTACACATGCATATTTTAGTTTCCTGTGTAACAATGACTCAAAGTCATTTTTTTTATACTTACTATCTGAAACAACTTTTTTTCTAACTCCACGAAATATAGCACTACCATTTTTTTCAGGATTTGGTCGAGGGAAGTTATTTTCAATCAACTGTTGCTCAGTTAAAAGGTAATCTTTTAAAAGTTCATACAGAACATCACCTGTGAGTTCTGAAAAAAAAAAAAAAAAAGGCAAAAAAAAAAAAAAAACAAACACACCAACACCCTAAAATAAATAAACCAACCGAGAGTTTAAACAATATTAGACCAAATATAAGCAGCACTTGAATATCCCAGCACTTCCAAAATAAATTAAAACTGAAATTGGAAGATGTGCACCTTGCTTTACATGCAAAAATTATATGCTTATCCATCAAAGCAATTGGAAGCTATCAGAGGTGAAGAATTGCTTAAAACAAAGGCACAAAACAATAGAGATGGTAAATTACTAGATATCCCAGAAAGGCTAGGCAAGCAACACCGAAGAATGTGCTCTTTTCAAACAGAAGTTCAGTATTTTTCCCCAAAGAATGAACCTTAAAAACAAACAGCAAATTGCATCGGAACCCTTGTAGTAGTTAATAGATAAAACTCAACCAAAAAAAACCCCAACATTTTCACACTTCCAACATTCTCATTTTGAAATAAGCCCATTTACATGCTAAAGTGCACAACCAACATCTCCATTTTCCTTTCTTTACCTTTCTCATTGTCTGCCTTTACAGATCCAGCACCACTGGGAGTCTTGATGTCACTAGATTGCCCTGAATTCAGGAAAGGATATTTTTAGCATTAATTCTGAATTTCAGATTTCCCGTTAAGGTGCTATGCATGTATTTATAAATGAAAATATCAATTTTTATTTTCATGATATACTTCTACAAAGGAAGAAGAAAATAATCAGAAATCTCTACAGTAAAGAGAAACTAAATTATCCTTATAATCCCTCTCCCATCCTAAATTCTATACATGGAACCCATTTAATAATCTTAACTGAAAGCAAAACTACCATGATCTCTCAGTTTTTTCACTGTCTTTACAGCAAAATTCAAGTACATGTTTTTACTGCCACAACGATCATAAATAGATTGCTCTTCTATCCGGGCCTGTATAAAAAAGAAAGACTGAGTGTTAGTGGGGTACTTTATGTGGTCGGTGTTTATTTTTTGTTTGGCTGTGGTTCCCCCCCCACCACCCCAAACACAGGAAGAACTGCCATTTAGAATCTGAGATTCTGAACCTACATTTAGAGACACACATTCAAATAGTGTCCTAAATCTGAAGTACAAAAAAAAAACAAAAACAAACAAGAAAAAAAAACACAGAAATGCATATGTAAAAAAAAAAAAAATCCCTTCTAATACTAACATACATAATTTTAAAAGATAATTAGCAGTGCTAAGAAAAATGGTTTTGCTGGTGGAAAACTGCAACTGATTGATAACATGAGGAAAGTGTAAGATCCAGTACATTTTAACTTTTGCTTCCTGAAAAGGCTGAAATATTAGTCCTAAACACAAACAAACAAAACATGTTGTGCAATTTAAAACCTACTGACTTAAGAGGAAGAACTGTAAAGACCTGTAAAACATTACAAACCTTGCCACCAGCTTCATCCACCGTGCTACAAATTTTGAGGTAATGTTCAAAAAAAAGTTTGAAATATCGCTGCCTTATCTCCCGTGGTACTTTAGATGCTGATTCAGGAATGAAAGGTTTTTTCTTAACGTAACCCTAAAGAAAGAAAACAAAACAAAACAAAACAAACAAACAAACAAACAAAAAAACACAGTAATCTGATCAATATTAACAGTCCAAAGAACTAAAACCAGGCATGCTTTTGCCCATCCTTAGACAAAGTCATACATTACTGAAAAGTCATTACAAAAACTTACACAACAGTTACACAAGGAACCAGAAACAGCCATCAGAAATACTAGCTAGAGATTTTTCCTGCTTGAACTAAGCAAAGTACTTTTTGACTCAAAGTAAGTTGTGTGAGACATTAAAACTACTTTTCAACTTCATTTTTGTTAGAAAAAGTTCAGTCTTTCAGAGAGCACTGGCAGTTCAGCAACAATTTAACAGTCAGGGTTTCCATCTGGTGTTCATTGCAGGTAGTATGTCATTCATAGCATAAACTAAGGACAAAATGAACTAGACTGAAAAAGTTTGTTTTGATGGAATTTATAAACTTTCATAGCCAATGTAACACTAAGGTCTTGCTAACCCTGAAATGCTTATTTTACAACAAAACACAGAAGTTAAAATCATCACATTTAAAAATTCAACAGTAAGTTAGATTAACTCTGGCACTGTTGCAGCTGAAAAGGTCCAGACACTTAAAAAAGATACATGGTGCGTATCAAGCAAGCAGTAGTATTTCTGTACCTCCCTTTTGTAATCTAGGAAAGCTCACTTTAGAGTGGCATTTATATTTGTATACTGCTACCAAGAAAAGTAGTAGTTTTGGCATATGAGTAGCAAAGGCAACACGTATTATTGTAACAAGCTAGTTTTACCTTTCCTGAGCCATGGAGTAAGCTATTCAGGAAACAAGAATTTAGATATTAGAGATATAAAGCATGAAGTAATCCATACTTAATATACTAGAAAAACATCAATAACCAAACTGACTAAAGACATAACATTTGTTTGTTATAGAGCTGACTGGTGCAGTTGATACCAAAGAAGGAAGAGATGCCATTCAAAGTGACCTGGACAGGCTGGAGAAGTGGGCTGATGCAAACCACGTATGATTCAACACGTCCAAGTGCAAGGTGCTGCACCTGGGTTAAGGCAATCCCCCAATGGCAGGGGGTTGGAACTAGATGATCTTTAAGATCTCCTCCAACCCAAGCCATTATATGATTTGACATTTTTGATAAGAAAATGAAGCACCGACCTTGTAATTAATTTTCCCTCAGAAAATCTTCAGTGACATCTGCTTTAAAGAAATTTCAAGATTAGAGTCTGAAGTTCTGAGTAGAGCAGGGACATCTCTAGATCAGGCTGCCCAAAGCCCCATCCAGACTGGCCTTGAACATGTCCAGGGATGGGGCATCCACAGCTCCTCTGGGCAACCTGTTTCACCACCCTCTGAGTGAAGAATTTCTTCCTAATTCTAATCTAAACCCACCCTCTTTCAGTTTAAAACTATTTCCCTTTGTCCTAAAACTACCTGTCCTTGTAAACAGTTTCTCTCCATTCTTCTCATAAGCCCCCTTAAAGAATTGAAAGGCCACAAGGCAGTCTCCACAAAGCCTTCTCCAGGTGACTTAGCAATTTATACAACGAATTGCTTACATCTGTACAGTGCAAGCTAGTACAAACATGAAAACAAAAACACAGTTTGTATAGCAACTTGATTTAGCCATGGAGAAAAGCAGCACTTTTATTAGCTGCCATTACTATGATCAGTATTTCTTTAGTAATTCTAAGTAAGCACTAAAAGACTACAGGAGTTGCACATTGTCTCCAATCTCAAGAGAATTTAAAGAATTTTCACCTTTGGAAAACCACAGGATTTAGTACACCCTCACTGCAAGGAATTCACCTTGCTGACCATGTCATTTCCCTGTTTTCTTGTGGATGTGCTGATTGGTCTGAAGCAGTTTGAATATGGGTACAATTTCTTTTGGAGAAGTTGCTGCAAGCAAAAATTCTTGCTTTTTTCAGAGATTCCTGGGAGAAGGGGTACTGACAGCATGTGAAAGCACTATATTTAACAACTGAGACATGCTGCATAATGCAATATTAGGAGAGTCTTGTGTGATTTCTCACACATTATCATATTAAGTATATATATATATATATATATATAAAATCGTTTTTTGTTAAGAAAAATACATCATAGGAAATAAGCAGCAGCTACAAAGACAAACAAGTACAAATTTAACTCAAGTTCTACCAGCATGCATCACATCGAACATTACCGCAGAACATTCCACAAGCGTATACATGTAATCTTGATTTTAAATATGATTTAATGCATTCAATGATCAGTTGTGTTTGTTTTTTTTTTAAAAAAAGCTTAATTGGTATATCATGTTATTGGGTTTACATTCTAACATAGTGTCTGAAATTGCAGTTTTTCTACCTCTGTTCCCTTTTATATACCAAAGCTCTGTAACTCTACGGTACCTCAAATAGCATGAGAGCGGTCTTTTCAATTGAACGAACAGACAGTTTGCATGGCATTGCTATTTCAGCATTTCCTTTACTTGGTTTATGCAGTTGACCACTGACGATTTCAACAGGCTGAACTTCAAGCAAATCTGAAGAAGCTGAAACACAGAGAAAATACAGATTGAATCTGAACTGTAATGGAATTTAAATAACAGTTACCATTAATCTGCCATACTGTTATTTCACTGCTCCTTTAACATAAAGCAGGGTAAAAATAACCTAAACAACAGAAGCAAACTTGGAGCTTCAGGAAACACATTAAGACCTCACTTCTGCCAACAAGTTTTATCCAAAGCATCCTCCAGTATTTTTGAAGACCTTAGATAGAAACAACCATACAAGTCAAGTTAAAAAGCAATTTAGAAGTTGTAGTGATAGTGATTTTTAAACACATAATTATCTGCTTTCCCTGTCCCCTCTCCCTCCTCAACCCACAAAAAAAATGGTAACAAGTTAAAAAAAATAAAAATCAGGGAAGCCATCATTCTAACCTAATTTTCCAATGCAATTAATAAGTGTTTCAGAAACAAATTATTTCAGAACCCTAACAGTTGAAATCAGTACCAAAATCAAACTTGGTACATTTTCATTCTTTTAACTCATGTATCGATACAAGGAAACAAATGTTTTTTCAGGATTTTGGTCAAAACTGTAAATGTTGAAAGACTTTTCTGTTACCACTTCAGCTCAGTTGAAGTACTTTAAAGGACTTCAAATAACTTTGTAGTTGGACAGGACATCTATTTCCCAAGCTAAATGTCCACCATCAGTCAGTTGACAATCACCACAAAGCGAACATACTCCAAGACAGCTAGCAAGCAAAATGAAATTTAGTTTGTCAAACCTAAAGACCAAGTTTTCATACCAGTTGATCTCTTACTTTGGATTTGAATAGCTGACTGTTTAGACATAGACTTCTCCTGTCCAGAATCAGTAGCAATAGAAGCTATTAATTCCCTTGCTTTCAACTGTGCTGTCTGGATTCTTGGATTCTTCGGACCCTGCTGCACAGGAGATCTTTTGAAAGGCTCCATTTCATTTTTGTTACATACCTGTTATGTATACACACAGAAAGAGATGGGTTAGCAGTCAAGCAGTTCCAAACCACAGCAAGACGGTGTTAACTTTTAACACTGAATTTTGCTATCAGATTCAGAGCTCTCTCTACTTGTTGCCCCAGAATAAAAAGGCCAATCTGGAAGAGGACTGAGGGGCAAGAGCTTAAAGAATTATACCTGCTGCTATTAACATTGCCACTTAAAGCATTTTAAGAGCAGAGAAAGTATAAATCACTTCTGGTTTCCCACTGCTGTATCTATAATCTCAGAACAAGCCTCCTTAACAAAGTGATTTTTCAAGGCTCTTTTCATTAGCCTCAGCGGCCCTCGGCAGCAACTTACTTCACCTGCATCAGGAACTAACTCCAGGTTCTAGGTGATCACATATCTGCTTCCATTTTTAGAAGGAGAGACGATGAAGCATTTGTTCTATTTTGGTTTAAAATACTTTTAAAATTACAAGATTCAGCCAACCCGAAGTCAAAATGAGTCTACTCAGATTAAGTGAAGCTATGTTAAACTTCACTTTATTACAAGATTAAAACTCACATCAAATTTTGGGATGTCTGTAATTCTTCTCTTTTGTCCAGCAACATTAACTTCGGTTTCTAATAAACTGGCATCCACATTTTTTTCATGAGTCTATTAAAAATAAGAACAGGCTACTTAGACCAACTTCCAGATTTCATTAATACCCTCATGACCCACTCACTCCAATGTTTCAGGATATTAAGCCAAAACAAGTCACCAGGAAAGTACAATTCCACCAGTACTAAACAGGTACTCTACATTCAGCACAGCTCAGCCACAGTGCTTCAAAGCAGGGTAGTGGTACTCAAAGTTCCCACATTCATTTATAAGATGAGCAGGAGACTACTGAACATACAGTTGCTTCTAAAACTTTGCTTAGAACAGTAAAACGAAGTCTACTACAAGGAAGTGAGCCACTGGGGTGATTTTTTTCTTTTGGAAACGTATAGATCACCCAGTGTCAAACAAGACTAGAGTCGTAAGTGTTCCTCATTAGTTCATCTACTAGCATGGAAGGCTCAACTATTTAACCTTTATTAACACATAAAAGAGCATTTGAACTTGACTATACAGATAACATTCCTCCTCCATATGCTCAGGAAAAAAGAAAAAAAAAAAAAGAAGCAAGAACTTAAAGAGAAGCATAATACCTGCTTATCACTGTCTTTCTTTTGTGCCTCTTTTTCAAACTCCTCGAAAATCCTCCGACACTCCTCTATAGGATCATCTGATTCTGAGATCTCTGTGTCCTCCCCACTGGATTCCATGTCTTCAGCAGATGAACTCAGAATTTTTTCACCTTCTTTCTTGTTTCTGCACACAGGTTGAACAGAACTGCTTTTATCAATGTTTTTGGTCTGTAAAATTGTACCAGAGCAAGCCTCCTTGTCCACGTTTAAGAAATCAGTTGGATACGAGTATGTATCCTTTGGGCTTTTCCCCAATTTTTTATCAGTGCTGCAACTTTTCTTTGTATCTAGTATTATTTGCTTTCCAGGTCTTTTTATTGTACTTTCATTTCCAGAGGAGTGACTAGAACACAAGACAGACTTTGTTACTCCTCCACTGCCCACACCCTTTTCACTACCAGTATATTTCTGAACAAATTCTTTGACCAATATATTGCTTTCTGCTTTCTCTTGCTTCAGAATCTTCTTCTGCACATCTGCCTCAGCTGAAGCAGATTTATGTTTCTGTGAGTTACAACCATGCCTCTCTCTCTGTTCAGAAATCTTCTGTGTTTCAGTGTTTACATCAGGCAAATAAATTTTGTTTGCTTTCAGAGAAACACTCCCTGCTTTTTCAGATTCATTTAAACATTTGCCACTCTTCTCCAAATCAGCTCTTTTTTCTGATTTTCCTGGTGTATACCCAGGACCATCTGCTATGATACTACCACGCAATTCTTCTGCATGTATTACATCATCCAGTTCTTCTTCTCTATTCAAGTTTTTATAGTTCCTATTTTTTCTTGGTCTTTTATTAACAAGTGCTGGCTCATCAATGACAAGATCACATTCATCATCAGATTCTTCAGGTTCCACTGGGGAACAGCTTCTTGACCTCTTTCTGAATTTCCTCCTAAATGGAGATGCTTCTGAATTCGCCTCTTGATATTCACATGGAAATAGTTCTGTTGGCTTAGCCAACTGCTGCTTAGCATTTTCATCTTCTGTTGTTATGGAAGAGATAGACAGCCCTGAAAATAATTTCATAAATATTATTTTCTATTTTTCCCAATTAAAGGAAGAGATGTTATTTTTGTACCAGAAAACCAAAATCATATGATAAAAGTGCTAGAAAAAAGCACTACAATGGCCTCCTTACAAGAAAGTATCTTAAGATTATTTTCAAGGGTTATAGGATTCTTAATCATTTAACCTGGAAGACTGTATTGAGAAAGTTCTTTCAGTTCTTCAGTTTCAATCTTGAATTTATCTCCTGCTATTTCAGCCCTTTTAAGTTTTTGCAAATCACCAGCCCATGTCAAGGAAAGAAATGATAGCACATTAAGTCGCAAACCATCTACTTCTTTTTTCTCAGCTAAAATACGTAATCTGCTTTATTGATTATGAACAAATCTCATTGTCCCAAATGTCCCCAGTAACATTTCAAGACAGACATATTTACAGTCACGCACAAACTTTAAGTGGCCTTGAAGGCTGAATTTTCCAACTGGACATGTGAGAAACTAACCTCCATCTTTTCAGCTTTTACAGACTAGAGACTGAGTTATGGTAAGCTAATATTTTCTCAAGGCACTGTCTCTATCCTCTCCTGCATCTTCTCACTGATTACAGTCTAGTGGTTATTTCCCAAAGTTTCACTGGCTGACAGGGTCTCAGAGAATTGCTAGTATCAATCTAGTGTTTTTAACAATAGCATGTAATAGAATTGTACTTTTAAAACCATATGTAACCACTTTTTTTCAAAAACAATTCTACCCATAATTACAGAACATTTCAGGGACCTACTAAAAAGTTGCATTTTGCTGGTGAACAGCATTCTTTCCAGGCTACTCAGAAATCCATAGCTTTGGCATTAACATAACAACATGCAAGCACAGGGAGGTACCACAAAACCTCAGCACCCAGTTGCTGTGGTTTAACCCATCTCACTCCCCCAGTAGGACAGGGAACAGAATTGGACGAGCAAAACCAAGAAAACCCATGGACTGGAATAACAACTGTTTCCTAGGAAAAGCAAAAACTAAACATACAAGCAAAGCAAAATAAAGAATGTGTACTCTGCTTCCCATTGGCCAGCAGGTGCTTAACCATTTCCAGGGATGCAGGGCTTCATCACACCTGATGAACCACACAACTAGTACCTGGGAAGACAAACACTGGAACTCCAAACACAGCCCCCTTCCTTCTTTCCCCCCCCAGATTTCATTGCTGAGCACAACATCACAGGGCAAATTACTCTACACCCCCCAGCCTGCTCACAGGTGGGGCAGAGCGAGAAACAGAAAAGGCCTTGATGCTGTGCAAACACAGCTCAGCAACAACTAAAACACTGACGTGTTATCTAGGTTGTTTTGGCCCAAAATCCAAAACATAGCCCCGTGCAAACTGCTATGAAGACAATTAACTCCATTCCTGCCCAAACCAGTACTACTACGTACCTCAAAGAAATCGTCTGAGCCACTTTGAGGTGGCAATTGTTCTTAACAGAAATACAAATAGCCTAACATTAGTAACATTTCTATGACTTTTATAGAAGACATCCTTTAAACTTTACAGTAATCCATGCTATAGGGTTATTCTTTGAGTAAAATGAGAATCAGCAAGCCTTCAGGGTTCAAGCTGGCTAGAGACTGCAGAAGCCATTTAATGAAGCACTCTGGCCACTAAAAAGGAGATGCCAACAGATTCAGCCTTCAGCAAGTCACATCCCGCTGCACAGGTGGAAGTCAGGAAGGGAAGGACTCCATGCCACAGGTTGTTTTAACCCTGACTCCCACTGCCCATTGCAACCATCATATTATCCAAGTCCTTCTACTAGGCTGCAGGTCTTTATGCTCAAGTGCAGCAAACTTGGAGAAAGAAATAAAACATCTAGTACATGCTACCCTTTATTGGTAAGTGTGAAAACCCAGGCACTGACTGTGAAAAGGAAGCTCCTGATGCACAGAAAGACACTACATGCCCAGTGAAAACCTGTACTGTAACAGGGGTGTGGGCACTCTTAGCATCAAGCCAGAAACTCAGTCACACCTACTTAAAATCCACAGATATAACAGATGATAAATACTTTGATAATTACTGATTTGTTAAGCAGCTGTAACAGGTACACTATCAGTGCAGTCCACAGCAAATGATGTCGAAGAGACCCAGCAACGTTCAAAATAACCTGAGAACCACTTGTTTTTAGTAATACACTTTCTAAGTCCAGTTCAGAAGCATATTTTTTTCCCATTAATAAGGGCTGTTATCGTCACTAAGCTTTGTAATTTGTAACAGGAGATCATTTTAGCGCCCTCCCCCTTGCACCTCACCCATTCAGCTTTATTACTCTACTACCTCTCCAAATGACATCTACCCCACAGAAACACCTGATGGAAGAAGCACAGGTTCCCCTGCCCCTGTTCCCCGCGGCATCCTCACCCTCCGAGGGTCCCCCGACGGCAGACGGATGCCTCTCGGCCGCTGGTTGCCGCCACGACTCGTGCAGGTACTGGCAGTGCGGGCGCCGGCAGCTGCCGTCCTCCGCCTGGTGGAACGGGCAGGGTAAGCCGGAGAAGTAGCCGGCGGGGCGAAACATGACAGCCGTCGGGGGGCGAGGGGCGACCCGGCACCGCGTCGCCACAGCCCGTCCCTACCGCCTGCAGAATGGGGAGAAGCGGGCGGGGCTGCCGCGGAGGGGAGGTGGCAGAGGGCTTGCCCTGAGAGGTGAGCGAGGTGAGGAGACCTTCACCACAGAGCCCTCAGGGTCTTTGAGAGCTTTATGCTGAGGGATTTCAGTGAAAGTCTCTCGCTGCCAGCATGTGGTGGCTCGTCCAGCCTGCCCGTGGTCTTCTACAAGGGTATCTCCAGCCTGGCTCCCAGCTATGCCATTTGGAGCACACCGGTCCTCTTGCTGGCACAGGTGGTTGTTGGCTACCTGTTTTACTATGAGTGTCTTAAAGCCACTCTCCTTCCAACACTTGCTCTTTTCTAGCTGGCTTTATGGTTGCGTTATTGAAGCATTTCCATGATGTATGGTGGTCTCTGCTGCCATGCCATGAACCTTTTTCTTGTTTTTGTCATATACTATCATACAATCCTTAACATTGGAAAAGACCTCCAAGATCATCTGGTCCAACCATCACCCTACCACCAATGTGACACACTAAACCATGTCCCTAAGCACCACATCCAACCTTTTCTAAAACAAGAATAAGGGACCAGCATTGCTCTCAATATTCACGGTGTGAATTAACTGGGAATTTGTAGAATATATGTATATAACATAGAATATATTTGTAGAAATTTGTTTCCTTTATAGCATCTTTATATGTTGTTCTGCATTCTTTTCCTATTATTTCTTGTAGGTTATGTCATCTATATTGTCAACACACACATAGTGGGGTGAGCTTCAATACCATCCTTAAGGCAACACTTTAATTTCAGGTGATCAAACACAGTTTCAAAACACCAAAAACATGAAAGTAATAACTATAAAAAGAGTGAAAAAAACTAACTGAGAACGGGCTGCTAATGTTAACTGTCTCCTGATGACCAGTAACATGGCAGGAAAAAGGAAATCTGCTATATTGGATGCCAAAGACAATAACAACTAGATATATTTCAAAATTCCATTTGCTACTTTTCACTCAGAAAATATTTGTTTAGAAAATAATTACTGTTCAGAGATCTCACCACAAGATTTCTACTCAGTGTAAGCCACGTATGTTGGATTGGTTGGATTCCTTTCTGAAAGTAATTGTGACAGTGTTTCAGCTCTTCCTTTTCAACTTGAATGTGGAGCTTGCCAGAGTTGTACCCCCTGGTGCTTTATTCTGAAGTAGTTAATGCTTGCCTGCAAACATTTGTGTTCAGAACTGAAATTTATATCCTGCTCCTGTCAAAGCATAAAGCTTATTCTATTCTGTCATGAGACTTCAAGCTACCTATTTAGTGAATCACAAGCACTATTTCATAAAATCATAGAATCATTAAGGTTTGAAAAGACCTCCAAGATCATCTGGTCCAACCACCCTCCTACCATCAATATCACTCACTAAACCATGTCCCTAAGCACCATGCCCAGCCTTTCCTTAAACACCCCCAAGGATGGTGATGCCACCACCTCCCTGGGCAACCCGTTCCAGTGCCTGACTGGATTTCTCTCTGGAAAGAAATGTCTCCTAATTTCCAACCTCAACTTCCCCTTGATTTCTCAAAACATAGTTGCACATAAGCCAGCAAATGAGTTTGAGAGCTTATTGGTCATGGTAACTTTATATTTTATTAGATATATTTGTTTTCATTTTTCACTAAGATTATATCATTTCACTAAGATTATTACTTTTCATTTAGTCCTCTGATGAAGGACTATCATTGTGATTTGGTTCATCAGAAACTGATGGCATATCAACTACTGAACTCATGAGGGGTACAGTTTCTGAGATTGAGCCTGTCTTGTGTGAGTCACTCTGCATATCTAATGCTTTTATCCCACCCCGTGCCTCCGAAGCTGGTTTCTGTTGTTCACGTGAGCATCTGAACATACGACAAAAATTCCTACAACACAGAACAAAAAAAACGTTATTCTGATTAGAGGAATTCAGCAGAAACTTAACAGATACCACTGAAGATGGCAACAAATTACTGAACTTCAATTTTTTCAAGATTTGAACTGACAAAGAGGAGCATTTCATCTTATAATGAAATACTTAGTACACAGACTCCTGGAAATAACATAATTTATATTTTTTTAATAATTTCTACTTTTACTTTTCATTTGCCTGTGCAGCCTTTCCCAGCTTTCTTCACATTTTTGCATATTTTGTAATCTGATGTTTGCAGTAGAACTTAATTTCGTTATCCAAAAGCATACAGTCCTGTCAATGGCTGTTATTTATAAGGGGAGGTGTTCTACCAACCAACACACAATCTAGTAATTGATAGAATATTGTAGGACCATATTGCAGTTTCTGCCTCTGGTTCACTGAGAGTTCAGAGGTGCTGTAAAGGGATCTAAATATCAGACACGGTACATGACTGGAAAACTTACCCTTTTGGAATTCTGTGCTTGATAAAAATCACACAAAATAATATAATAAATATTATGTAGATGACAAGAGCTGTAGATGATGCAATAAGCATTGCTTGCACTTTAAAGTCTTCCTGGCTGGTTTGTTCGGTTGCGTTCCTTTGGAGCAAATCAGCGTTCTCTGACACTACAACAGTAAAGGACATCACACCACTAGCATTTGAAATGGTAGTGCACTGTGCAATTGGACATATGTAGAAACAGATTATACATATGCATTTTGCAAATAAATGTGTGCGCGTCCTAGTAAAATGACTACCTCTACCAAAACACAGATCCATGTTTAGTTGTCAATGACTTGGCCCAAAGTACGCCTCTTCCAAATTTTCTAGACATGACTTTTATCCACCATCACGGGAAATTCTGACAGAAGTTTAGCAGCTCCATCAACTGTAGTATTTTGAGTTACTAGCTGTGGTTTGTATTTTGAGTTTCATTAAAACTCGTTTTTTCATCTATGAGGAGAGAGGCGTGCCTGAAGTTATCTGCAGAACCATAGATTCTGCATATTTCTAGTTTTCTGTGTCCAAAAGGTATCAAGACTGCTGCTCCATATTGTTAGTTGGCATTTCTTGGAGAACCACATCACTTCAATGGTATCTGAGGTAATCCATTTCACCAGAAACAGGTTTTGATTGGTACATACCATCAGAAGGTAAAGTAAATTGTCTGGTCATCCTTGCTGAGGTTAGGAGTGGTACAAAGATGAGCAACGTGCCCCTCATAGCAGAAACAGTGCTGCTTTCCCAGGGGTTATGGTTCCTGTGGCTGCTGTCCCCAGCCACCTCCTGGACTGTGATGTCACCATTGTCCCCAGAGCCTGGCCTGACAGGGGATCCACAGGGGACATGGCGGGGAAGATGTCACGTCCTGGAGACATCATACTTGTTCCTCCCTCTGGCACACTCACGTGCAGAGGGCCCTGTGGACGTGCGAGGATGGAAATCTCCGCTCTAACTCCTCACTGAGGTTGGACATTGTGCTTAGGGTCATGGTTTCGTGGGTGATATTGGTGGTAGGGGAGCAGTTGGACCAGATGATCTTGGAGGTCTTTTCCAACCTTAATAATTATAGGATGTTATAACTGATACAAATGCATGTTTACAATTATAACATCTTTGTCCATACTCAATGAAGATGTCATGTCCTGGAGACATCATACTTGTTCCTCCCTCTGGCACACTCACGTGCAGAGGGCCCTGTGGACGTGCGAGGATGGAAATCTCCGCTCTAACTCCTCACTGAGGTTGGACATTGTGCTTAGGGTCATGGTTTCGTGGGTGATATTGGTGGTAGGGGAGCAGTTGGACCAGATGATCTTGGAGGTCTTTTCCAACCTTAATAATTATAGGATGTTATAACTGATACAAATGCATGTTTACAATTATAACATCTTTGTCCATACTCAATGAAGATTCTGTTGCTTCAAAACGCAGTGTTCTTTGTTTAGATAGAACAGAGCGCAGTCTTCGAGTAGTATTTGTTGTGACTAATTATAAACAGATTAAAAACCTAGGAAAGGTCTTGATCCACCAATATCTGTCAAACTTCGTATGTGACTGTCACTGTGCCAGAATCTTTTAAAGAAATGGTAGGGCATGAGAAGCTAATTCCTGTGAACTAAAAGAATCTAACTTATGTGAACTAAACAACGTAAAAATGACGAAAAAGTCCATTCAAAACACAAAACCCTGTGTTCTTTGCCTGGCTTCGGTGCTTTATCACGTGAGCGAAGTCCCCGCCGTCTAGCAGAAGTCTAGCAGAACTGTAGTTCACACAAGCACAGAGCCGGCCTCAAAAGCAGAAGTGACAAAGCTCCCTCTGCTGACTACAAAAAGAAAAGTCATTCTGTTTTTACAATGGTAAATGAAAAAATAAGTGCTGCGGGGAAAGGGTCTTGCAGAAGAATGTGGAGGAAAAAGCAAAGGCTGAAAACATCATTACACTATCAATGTAAGAAAGAGTTTTAAAGTTGATGGAATAATTCAAAGACTGGAAGGAACAGCATTTGTGGTGTGGCACATACAGGTCCCAGTCCGTAGCTTTGGCAGTTCACAGCTGGATAAAGTGAACTGTGATCTTAGAGCGCCATCGCCCTGCCTAGAAACACTCTTTTCCGAGGGAAACAGTCACTAATTTTTAAAATTTGCAATTTGACGTAAGCATGTGAGCCTTTTTTTGGTGAAAGACCTTAGGGAGAAGAGCTTTGATTTCTGGAGACACAGAGAAGTCCAAGTGTTCTCCCAGCTAGACTGTATTCAGGTGATAAATCACCCAATACAGATGAGAGGAGTAACACGGAGGAGACTGTTAAATTCCCTGCACAGTCATAACCAACAGCCCACAAACCTGTTTGCAAGAATTTTGAGTTAAACAGAATGGCAGACATTGAACTGAGCATAGCACAGTTACAGGAAAAAGTTAGAATTCATATCCAAAGCAGCCTACATGTGATTAACTGACAAGTCAACGTCAAGAGCTACCAGGAAATTTGTGCTGCAAGACAAAAGCAAATGTTATTTAGAGCTCAGAGCAACAAAATGAGGCAAAACACAGCCATCCAGCTCTGATGCCTTGCTGGTTGGGCCAGTGTTGCCTTCACTCACAGGAGGTGTGTGCTGGTGGAGGACCTCTGTTCCAAGTAAGGAGCCGAAGGAGAAGGTCAGCAGGCTCTGCAGTTCCAGATCCAATGAGAAAGAGCTTGACAGGACCATCTCCAAACAAAAGTCTGAGCTGCCAGCTGTCCCAGAGGAGTTAGTGCTCATCAGGCTGGGAAATGGTGGCTCCTTCAATGCTGAAGGCTGGGAGCTGGTGACGTCTTGCACCAGGAGGCTCATTCCTGCGCCATCTGTAGAGCTGCAGCTACAGATCATGTTCAGTGTCCTGGCAGCAGTGGAGGGTCTAGGAGCTGTGTCCAACAAAGTCATCAAGCCCACAGTGCCGGAGCCTTGCAGCAGCACCAGGAAGACGTGGAAGGTGATTCTAGTAGGGAGCTCCTGCTGCAGGGACAAGTATCCCACCCGGTGACGTGACCTGCTGTGGAGGTAGACTGCTCCTTGCTAGGACTTGGACATTGCGGAGGGATTGCTGCTGCTTGTCTAGCACTGGGACCAGCAGCCTCCCTCTTGTCCCAAGGGATGCTGCCAGGGTGACATGGAGCATACTGTCTTCTGCAAATTCATGGTAAAATATCTGGACAAGCATCTCTGTGAGGGATAATCTGCAGCCAAAAGCAAAGGCTCAGGTGAGGATCTCAGTGAATTACCATTTTTATTCATGATTGCAATAGTGGGCATCCTGCAAGCAGCAATGCACAGAAGTACAGCGTAGCCCTATATTCCCTACTGTCTGATGCTTGCTTCCTCCTGTTTCCTCAGTGGCTGAGTACTACAGGTTCACAACCTGCCTGACACTTGTTACTATGCCCTGTATGTAAAGTTTTTTGTTTGTTTGTTTGTTTGTTGTTTGTTTGTTTGTTTGTTTTGTTTTGTTTTGTTTTTAAATTGGAGGGGCCCATGATTTCATAGCTTCTTGTTCTTGCTGACTCCATCACTGTTTGTTTTGTTTTTCTTAGCCATCCTCCTTATTTCAGGACAGTGGGACCTTCCCCTGCCCCCTTATCTGCTTAACACACCCTGCATCATTATGCCTCCACAATCACCTTTAAAAATGCAGGGTTAGTGGAATTTTCCACTCCAAAAAAACACAACTTTAATTCTTACATCTTCACTCATGTTTAAATTTCTGTTGTGCTGGAGTACAAGCATAGGCAATGTTCTGGATCGTCTGACATACCATTGTACTTCTGCACGCAGCATGTACTGCTTACTGCAGTAGTGCAGCTGGAGTACTGAGGCCAGCCAAGCCAACATGCTGGGTGATCGATGAATGGCAGCCTGGGCCCCACGCCATGAATTCTGAGGTACCTTTCATTTTCTTGCAGAAGGGACAGGTGTCAAAAGTAGAAGTCACATGGTGTACGTCTCTGCTAGAGGTAGCAGAGAAGATTTAGATTATCCCTTACATAGCAATGTCCAAAAATATTTTCAAAACCGACATTAGCTCATATATATAGCCTAAGTCATCTTCTAGCATCAACCACAGGATATTGAAGTTAAATCCAAGTGTATGTTATGTATGCATCTTGCTTCCTTATGGAGAAGGAGACACATGCATAACTGTATTACACATATAATGTAAAACATGTTTAATTTCAGCGTGTTCGTTCTTGGCTCTCCTGCAATTGGTTAGCAACAACCTAATTGTCTTATTCCGTACTTTTCTCACTTAACCGTAGATCACAGATTCTCTTCTATTTTCACCTTTCAGGAAATAATTATACTGCCTGTCATTTAAATGAATAAGCACTGCTACAAGATCAAAGTTAATGACCTCTAGCTTCTTCAATTTATGTCATGGCCTTTGAAAATGCATTACTTCCTACACATAAAAACATGTTCTATTTAGGGCCAGCTCTTCGTCTCTTTACCCTCCTTGAGTGCTCCAGAAGGGGCCAGATGAATGTTCACTACAGCTGGTGGACACCTCCTGCTCCTGGAGGGTGTTCTTGGCCCAAATTAGATCATTTTCTATGATTTCCTCACCTGATCTTTCCCATAACAAGTGCCAGAGGAGGTTCTAACAAAAACAAATGAATCAAAACCCCAGAACAAAATATAATGTGAGGAGTTTCATACTAACTGCTTAGAAAACTCTATTTCATTTTGCTCATCAATCAGATAATTAGATTTCTAGTTAAAATCTTGCAACAGAATTCTGTTGTATTTGACTTTGAAAGACATACAATTTTTCATCTCAAAACTGAAAAGCAAACTAGTGATTGCATAGCAGCCTCAAGCACTGGCAGCTCCAGTGCCATTTCCAGCATGCCGATACCTTGCCAAAGGTTTACTCTGAGCAGGGTTTTAGGAATTTGCTCTTATGAACAGGGGTTTGACAACTAAGAAAAAGGCTTGATAACTTTAACCTGCTGAAAAAAAACTTGATTTCAATATTTCCTCATCTTTTTCCACATCACCCTAGGCTCAGAGCAGGAGGTAACACTTTCCAGTTGCTTCACAAGGAGAAGATAAATCTCCCACTTCATGATCCTTCTTTCTTTCATTGGATGAAGCATAAGTCTTTCTCCCTCACTCATGCACGGTGCTGGTTGCGCTGCTCTATGCCTCTCTCATTTCTTTTAACAAAAACAGAAGCTTTTTCAGTCTTCTAATGGTGGTGCACAACAAACCCTGTCTGGATCTGATGAAAGCCTCGGGGAACAGCCAACCTGCTGGAAAACTTGAGCGTTTTGAGTGAATGCACCAGGCCCACTGTGAATCCTGCAGAGCCACCTGAAAGCTAAGAAGAGGAAATGTCAGTAAAAATTAGTCCCACTTGTTATTCCAATCTGTTTAATGAGTAAACTGCTGCAATAAGGCTTGCTATATCACTTCCTTTACAGAGGCCAAATTTTCATACATTTGGTTAAATTCACATGCAGTTTCGGGTATGTTTTTGTTCCAGTGGTTTAATCTCATTTCAGAGACCAGTTTGACCTGTTACAACTCACAGAAGTGCATCAGAAGTGACAAGCTGAACCCACGGAGTTTCCCAGCACCTGTAGTGAGGGTGCCAAAAAAGGGAGAACAAGCTGACCTTTGATACCATTCTCCAGGCTTGTTGAGTGTTATAAATGAAGATACAACTCAATCTGAATTTAGTAGTGTTTATAAAAGGCAAGTAAACTGTGCTGGGTTCACAGGGAGCCTAAGCTCTACCAACACGCACACTCAACCATTGAGCTTTCTAAAATATATATAACACTGCTTTTACATATTCATAAGAAACCTGAGTATGCCTATACATATGTATGACATATCCCCGCTTGGTATAATAATTAGTATTTTCACAAACTCCTCCTTTTGGTGCCTTCATAGTGTCTTTTGGGTTGTGGGGATGAAGGCTCAGGAACCCACGGGTTCCTGGATCTCGTCCCAACCACAGGGAGGCCCTGACGGCCTCCCTCTTCTTATGCGCATGCTCTGCCCTCCACAACGTTCCTGACCACAACAAAACGTGATCAAAACCAATGCTTGAAAGGCCACCTCTTCCTGCGCTTACTTAACCCTTGAGACCACAATAATAATGTGATTATCATATAATATTAAACAGCAAATTTTAAGAGTTTCAACCAGCAAACCCTATTGCTGCACAGTGCTGGCACAGCATCAGGACTCCTTTGCAGCCCCCAGGAGCCAGCAGGCTGGGGGTGGGCAAGTGATGGGGAGGGGACATCGCCAGGGCAGCTGCCCTAAACCAACCAAAGGGACATTCCAGAGCACCTGATGTCACACTCAGCAATAAAAGGGGGGCTCTCGTGGGGGAGGGGGCTGTCCTCCTGAACAACCGCTACGCGTTTTGAGGCCCTGCTTCCCAGGACGTGCGTGGCCGAACATGGTTCGTTGATGGGAAGTAGAGAATTTTTCTTTTTCCTTCTCTCTGTGCTTCCGCGCGGCCTTATTGTTTCTTTGGTTTCTTTTTCTCCCCATTCCCCTTCCCTTTCATCATTAAACCATTCTCATCTCCAACCTCGAGCTCTTTGTGCTGTATTTTCTCCCCCATTTTAAAAGCCACTCCTCCGTGTTCGCAAGAAGTGAAATAACTTGAATTCCTACCTTACTTTTTAAATTATTTTCAAATAGCTTCAGCAAGGTCTGTGGGACACCAGAACACCCAAATCATTGCCATCTCCCCTGGGTGATTTGTAGCACCCATGACATGAATGTGATGTATTGGATACAAAATTTGTGGAAAGGTTTAGGTGAAGTGGTCGGACTTAAGTGTTTCCCCCTGCTGTTTGTAGAGATGCTGATATCTCTGAGAAAAGCACACTCTTGGAGCTCAGGCAATATCCCAGACAGACAGCTGATGAGATCTTTGTCTCCAAAGAGCTTTTCCCCATAAAAAGAAAGCGGTTTGTGCCTTTTGCAAGGCATTGGCTTCTAGCCAATGAGCTGGTGAATCCGGAGGAGGATACGATAGTTGGGTTGGAAGCGACTGCACAGGTTTCTGCTTGAAGCTCCTGCTCAAAGCAGAGTCAGACGCAGTGTTTGAGGGCTTTACCCCGTGCCATCTCCAAGCCCTGCCATGGATGAGGCTGCACGCTCTTTCTGGGGCCAATGGCGTAGCAGTCGGATCAGTAAAGGAGCGCACAGCTCCCTCACTGTCTGGCAAACCGCACGTGTCTGACTGTGGGCCCACATGGCTCTTTAAGGCCTCAGAGGCTGCTCGCAGGTGCCGAGCAATCCCGCTGCAACCTTGTTGTTTTTAGTTGCACAATCCCACACCTTGACCTCAGTTTGGTCCCATGTTTCAGGCTCATAAACTGTCTGATTGTTAAGAAGGAGAATAAGCTGTAAGGTTACCAGGACAGTCTTTGTTCCTAAGGACGTACGATTCCCCCTAACGCGCAACTGCTGACCAGCGAGGGGCAGTTGTGTGCGCGGCTCCGCTTCTCTCAACTGGAGCTTCTTCCCAGCTCCGGTGCGCCCATTTCCAGCGACTTTCTGGACGAGCTTCTCGGAGCTGTTTGCTGAGTTTGGCCGAACCCATCTTCATGAGGCGATCAGTGTGCCTGTTCCCATCCTGGTCTGCGTCCCGCTAGCCTGTTCCTTTTCATTCCTCCTTGCTACTTCTCTATTGATGCCATAACTTCTTCGGGTTGCCTTTTTCATCTTGAGGACAGGCTCCCCTCTTAAACCCTTCTCCCCACAGCAGTCCTTTTCCAAAACAGCTTTTCATTGGTTAAACAACTTTGCATCTAACAACAACGGCAAACACCCAGCAACATCCATGCCTTAATGGCTGGAGAACAAGCAACCCGAGACTGCATGGACTCTCCTGAATCACCTTTCTGTATTCCCTCTAACCTCTTTTTCATTCCTGATGGCCTCATCATTAAGTCGGATGTTCCCACCAAGCATGGGGCTTGCTGACCCCCATGGCCACACTCCCACATCTCCCCCTTCTTCATTAATATCAACCATCTTCTTAACACGAATTACTATGCCGTATATAGGGACAGGCAGCACAGAAGGGGTGGCGGTGTGGCTCTCTATATTAGAGAGTCTTTCGATGTTGTAGAACTCGAGGCTAGGAATGACAAGGTCGAGTCCCTTTGGGTTAGGATTGGCAGGGACAACAAGGCTAGTGTCCTGGTCGGGGTCTGCTATAGACCGCCGAACCAGGATGAGGAGACGGATGAGGAGTTCTACAGGCAGCTGACAGAAGTTGCGAAATCGTCGGCGCTTGTACTCGTGGGGGACTTCAACTTCCCTGACATATCCTGGAAGCACAACACAGCCCAGAGGAAGCAGTCTAGGAGGTTTCTGGAGAAAGTGGAAGATAGCTTCCTGACGCAGCTGATTAGTGAACCTACCAGGGGTGGTGCCCTGCTAGACCTTCTCTTCACAAACAGAGAAGGACTGGTGGAGGATGTGATTGTCGGGAACAGTCTTGGGCAGAGTGACCACGAAATGGTGGAGTTCACTATTCTTGGCGGGGCCAGGAAGGGAACCAGTAAAACCACTGTATTGGACTTTCGGAGGGCTGACTTTGGGCTGCTCAGGACACTGGTTGGTGGAGTCCCATGGGAGGCGGTTCTGAAGGGCAGAGGGGTCCAGAAAGGCTGGGCGCTCTTTAAGAGGCAAATCCTAATGGCGCAGGAGCGGTCTGTCCCCATGTGCCCAAAGATGAGCCAGCGGGGAAGAAGACCAGCCTGGCTCAACAGAGAATTGTGGCTTGAGCTTAGGAGAAAAAAGAGGGTTTATAATCTTTGGAAAATTGGGCAGGCCACTAAGGAGGACTATAAGGATGTAGCGAGGCTGTGCAGGGACAAGATTAGGAAGGCCAAAGCTCATCTGGAGCTCAATCTGGCTACTGCCGTTAAAGATAACAAAAAATCTTTTTACAAATACATCAACACAAAAGGATGGAGAATCTCCATCCTTTACTGGATGCGGGGGGAAACTTAGTTACAAGAGATGAGGAAAAGGCGGAGGTGCTCGATGCCTTCTTAGCCTCAGTCTTTAGCAGCAATACCGGTTGTTCTCTGGATACCCAGAACCCTGAGCTGGTGGAAGGGGATGGGGAGCAGGATGTGGCCCTCACCATCCACGAAGAACTGGTTGGTGACCTGCTACGGCACTTGGATGTGCACAAGTCGATGGGGCCGGATGGGATCCACCCAAGGGTACTGAGAGAACTGGCGGAAGAGCTGGCCAAGCCACTATTCATCATTTATCAATAGACCTGGCTATCGGGGGAGGTCCCAGCTGACTGGCGACTAGCAAATGTGACGCCCATCTACAAGAAGGGCCGGAGGGCAGACCCGGGGAACTACAGGCCGGTCAGTTTGACCTCAGTACCAGGGAAGCTCATGGAGCAGATCCTCTTGGGAGTCATCATGCGGCACTTGAAGGGCAAGCAGGCGATCAGGCCCAGCCAGCATGGGTTTATGGAAGGCAGGTCCTGCTTGACAAACCTGATCTCCTTCTACGACAAAGTGATGCGCTGGGTGGATGAGGGAAAGGCTGTGGATGTGGTCTACCTTGACTTCAGCAAGGCATTTGACACCATCTCCCACAGCATTCTCCTCAAGAAACTGGCTGCTCTTGGCTTGGACTGGCGCACGCTTCGTTGGGTTAGAAACTGGCTGGATAGCCGGGCCCAAAGAGTTGTGGTGAATGGAGCCAAGTCCAGTTGGAGGCCAGTCACTAGTGGCGTCCCCCAGGGCTCGGTGCTGGGGCCGGTCCTCTTTAACATCTTCATCAATGATCTGGATGACGGCACTGAGTGCACCCTCAGTAAGTTTGCAGATGACACCAAGCTAGGTGCGTGTGTCGATCTGCTCGAGGGTAGGAAGGCTCTGCAGGAGGATCTGGATAGGCTGCACCGATGGGCTGAGGTCAACTGCATGAAGTTCAACAAGGCCAAGTGCCGGGTCCTGCACCTGGGGCGCAACAACCCCAAGCAGAGCTACAGGCTGGGAGATGAGTGGTTGGAGAGCTGCCAGGCAGAGAAGGACCTGGGAGTGATGGTGGATAGTCGGCTGAATATGAGCCAGCAGTGTGCTCAGGAGGCCAAGAAGGCCAACGGCATCCTGGCTTGTATCAGAAACAGTGTGGCCAGCAGGGCTAGGGAGGTGATCGTCCCCCTGTACTCGGCTCTGGTGAGGCCGCACCTCGAGTACTGTGTTCAGTTTTGGGCCCCTCGCTACAAGAAGGACATCGAGGTGCTTGAGCGGGTCCAAAGAAGGGCGACGAAGCT